AGCATTTTCAGCCAACACACAAACACATACAGGATCTGTAGTTACAAACTCATGATGTATTATTTTATGTAGTTTAGGGGAATTTTAAGATGTTGAGTTTTCTCTCTCTTTTTCTTTTTTTAAGATTTTATTTATGTATTCGTGAGAGACACACAGAGAGAGGCGGAGAAGCAGGCTCCATGTGAGGGAACCCGATGCGGAACTCAATTCCAGGACCCTGGGATCACAGCCTGAGCCGAAGGCAGATGCTCAGCCACTGAGCCACCCAGGCGTTCCAGTTTTCTTATTTTTGTGAATAAGACTGCTAATGACCACAAGCTTGGGCAATGGGGTCATTAGTCAGTGTAAAGAAATATTTGTAAAATAAATCTAAACCCCGGCCATCATGACTCCCCTCAAGGCCCTGAGATGATTTCTAGCATGTTTGGCTAACACGGATTCCTCCTCTTCCTTGTAGCCCATACTACTGACTGCCTCTACCAAACCCCCTAGACCTTGACTACATCCAGTCCAGCATCTTAGCACACCTGGGTCTGTTGTCATTTTACATTTTTATGCCCCTTATACTTCCATATGGAATCAGGTGGCCTTTTAAGGGCCCAGTAAATGTGGTGGCTTTGGCCAGAGGCCGTCTACAGCCAGGATCCTGTCACTGCTCTGGAGTCAGGGAGAAACATAGCTTAAACCACCGTAACCCACCTGAGGGAGTCAATGAGGGGTGAGGGTGGGGAGAGTGACCTGGGATGGGCCTCGAGACAGAAGCTGAGAAATGAGGTCCAAGCAAGAATTAGTGAAGAGGAAGCTGGCACCGGGCCTCCCTGGGAGGGAGGGGAATAAGCTTTGCACTTCTTTGTCACAGAATCTCACATGTGAGATTCCGCCTTGACTGGCCTTACCTCTGATGGGAGAAGACCCTATGTTAGGTAGAGGCTTTCTGGAGGCTGCCTTGACAAAACAGCACAAATAGAGTAGCTTAAAAAGAACAGAAGTAGAGGGATCCCTGGGTGGCGCAGCGGTTTGGCGCCTGCCTTTGGCCCAGGGCGCGATCCTGGAGACCCGGGATCGAATCCCACATCGGGCTCCCGGTGCATGGAGCCTGCTTCTCCCTCTGCCTATGTCTCTGCCTCTCTCTCTTTCTCTCTCTGTGACTATCATAAATAAATCAAAATTTAAAAAAATTAAAAAAAAAAAAGAACAGAAGTAGGGCACCCACCTGGGTAGCTCAGTGGTTGAGCGTCTGCTTTGGGCTTAGGTTGTGATCCCAGGATCCTGGGATCGAGTCTTGCATCGGGTTTCCCACTGGGAACCTGCTTCTCACTCTGCCTGTGTCTCTGCCTGTGTCTCTCATGAATAGATAAATAGAATATTTAAAAAAAAAAAAAGAAGAAGAAGAACAGGGCAGCCCCAGTGGCCCAGTGGTTTAGCGCCGCCTTCAGCCCGGGGTGTAATCCTGGAGATCTGGGATCGAGTCCCATGTTGGGCTCCCTGCATGGAGCCTGCTTCTCTCTCTCTCTCTCTCTTTCTCATAAATAAATAAATAAATAAATAAATAAATAAATAAATAAATAAATAAAATCTATATATATAAAAAAAGAACAGAAGTTTATTCTCCCCGTTCTAGAGGCTAGAAGTCCAACATCGAGGTGTCGGCAGGGCTGTCCTCCCCCTGAAGGCTCTAGGGAAGAATCCTCCCTTGCCTCTTCCTAAGCTTCTGGTGGTCGATGGCTTTCTTGGCATTCCTTGGTTTATAGGTGATTCACTCTAATCTCTGCCTCTGTCTTCACATCTGTGTCTTACCCCATGTGTCTGTGTGTCCCCGTGTCTTCCCGTGGTCATCTTCTAAGGGCAGCAGTCATACCAGATTTAGGACCCACCCTAATCCATTATGACCTCCTCTTAACTAATTACATCTGCAAAGATCCTACTTCTGACTAAGATCTCATTGCTGGGTACTGGGGAGGTTTGGATGCAAACACATCTTTTTGGGGGGAGACACAATTCAACGCGCAACAGAGCTTGATGCTGTTGGAGAGTGGAAAGAAAAAAGCACCTGAAAAAGTAGACTTAACACAGTGCAGGGGCATCTGGTGGCTCAGCTGGTTAAGCGTCTGACTCTTGATTTCAGCTCAGTTCATCATCTCAGGGTCATGAGATCAAGCCCTACATCAGGTTTTGCACTCAGGAGTAATTGTGCTTGTCCCTCTCCTCCCTCTGCCCCTCTCTGTTCTCTTTGTCTCTCTCTCTCTCAAATAAATGAAATAAAATCTTAAAAAAAAACGAAACAGCCCAAAGTTATACAAACCAGATTTGAAAGAACATACCCTGATAAAGCCTAGAAATAACCTATTTTGTACAATATGTTTACATTTACATGTACATAGGTATGTATTTTTCCCAGATAAAGACTCAAACGTAAAAAAACTAACAAACGGGATCCCTGGGTGGTGCCAGCAGTTTAGCGCCTGCCTTTGGCCCAGGGCGCCATCCTGGAGACCCGGGATCGAATCCCACGTCGGGCTCCCGGTGCATGGAGCCTGCTTCTCCCTCTGCCTGTGTCTCTGTCTCTCTCTCTCTCTGTGACTATCATAAATAAATAAAAATTAAAAAAAAAAAAAAAACCAAACACTTAGACAATGTAGGAGTCTACCAGCATGATCCAGGGGCAGGAGAAGCTATCAAAGCTGAGGTGAGCATATGTAACCATGTAAGGCAGTTGACAACCATGAGAGCATGTAAGGAAATACTCAAAACTCACTGGCAATCAGGGAAATACAAAATAAAGTCACAGCGAAATGTCACCATGACAAACAAGAAAGATGGTGACCGGGATGCTTTTGTACATTGCCAGTGGAAATGTACATTAATCATTTGATGATGTTAAGGAAGTATCCTTAAAATTTTAGATGTGATATAATGGTATTATGGTTAATTTGTAAATTGTCTTTTTTTTTTTTTTTTTTTTCCTGCTTAAAAGGTTCATCCGGAACTATTTCCTCATAAAATGATGTAATGCCTGGGATTTTACTTAGATGATCCAGGAAGCAAGGTGGTCAGTGGCTGATGGTAGGAAGGAAGGGTCAGTACACTCACAGGCATAGGCCAAATCTAGACCACTGCCTAGTTTTGTATATAAAGTTTTATTGGACTGTAGCCATGCTCATTCTGCTACGTATTTGTTTAGTATCTGAGGCTTCTTTTGTGTTCCAGCTTCTGCAGAATTGAGGACTTGCTTGGAGAACCATGTGGCCTGCAAAGCCTAAAATATTTACTAACTGACCCTTTACAGAAATGTTAGTGAACCATTGTCCATAAGGAAGCCGGTTTGGCTGCATGTTTGTAATGGTTGACTCTGAGGGCTGTGAGTGATGATTAGTCTTCAATTTGTCTGTGTTGGGATCTTTCCATAATGAGAAGTTTAAAAAAAAAAAAACAACACAACACTTTAACTTAGTGTACCCCGCTTCTAGGAAATCTACCTGTTGGAAATGAAGGCATCAATTAATAAGGATACATGTATAAATAAGGATGTTTACTAAAATGGTTACAGTGATTTAAAAAACCCCACAACAATGAAAAACCGATTGCCTACCTGTATGAGAATGTTTATATAAATCACACCAACCCATGCGATGGAATATTATGCTGTCTTTTTAAAGAATGAGCTAGCGGGGCACCTGGGTGGCTCAGCAATTGAGCGTCTGTCTTCTGTTCAGGATGTGATCCTGGGGTCCGGGATGAGTCCCACATGGGGCTCCCTGTGGGGAGCCTGCTTCTCCGTCTGCCTGTGCCTCTGCCTCTCTCTATGTGTGTGTCTCTCATGGATAAATAAATAAAATCTTTAAATAATAATAATAATTAATTAAAAATAAAGAATGAGCTAGAATTTTGCTATCCTGCTTAGAGAATTTTTCGTATTTTCAAGTGAGAAAAGTAGGATGTAGAAAAGTCTGTATTTGACGATTCCATTTCTCTAGAACAGTGGTGGAATTAACCCCTTCGGTAGGCAGAGAGGTGCATGTGCATGAGTGTGTATGATACATAGCACATTAACATGGCTCTGGGTGGAATGCCATCTCTGGAAGAGGAGCACAGAAAAACAGAAAAAGGAAAGGACCTATATTTAAACAGCCTACATGTTATGATCCTGTTTATGCGTTTGTGTTAAGTTGTACTCCTATGTACACGTGCTTTGCTAAATTCCAAAGAGAGTTACGATTTTTAACACAACTGGAAGGGAGTGAATATTTTTAATGCGCTACACAAGTGAGGAAATTAAAGGGGGGGATCCCTGGGTGGCTTAGCGGTTTAGTGCCTGCCTTTGGCCCATGGTCTGATCCCTGAAGTCCTGGGATCGAGTCCCACATCAGGCTCCTGCATGGGGCCTGCTTCTCCCTCTGCCTGTGTCTGTCTGTCTCTCATGAATAAACAAAATCTTTAAAAAATAAAAAATAAATAAAGGGGATTTGGGTAGGGTTGGAAGGTGCCCAGGAGTGGGAAAACGAGAGATAAGAGTGACCTCTGCAGACCTGGGCCAGCTGGGGGAAGGCTCTGTAGAAGGTTCTAGCGGTGAGAGAGAGGGGTGGCTGGATGGCCTTTGGGCCACAGCCGCTCCCTGATCTCAGCGCCTCTTCCTCCTGCTCCCGGAGAAATAATGTTTCCCTGGGGGATGAAAAGCATCCCTTTGTGCAGGCTTTAATTGCCATGTTGTTGTGCCAAGTGAATGAGTGGCAGGCGGGCACAGCAGCTGGGCACAGCCAATGCCAGGCAGCAAAGCCCGCTGCCTTAGGACAGCCTGGGCCAGCTGGCCTGGGGGCTCTGCCCACCTCTGCCCCCCGCTAGAGGCCCTGTACCAGGACCTCCGGGACAGAGGGGTCCTCGGGGATCTGGGGAAGAGTCCTTACAGGGAGAGAGAGGGGTGGGGTGCCTGGGAGGGTCTCAGACATTCTAGAAGCTTATTCATCTCAGCCTCCTTTCTCTTCCCCCTCCCTCTTGTTTTTCAGACTGTCAGCATCAATAAGGCCATTAATACGCAGGAAGTGGCTGTAAAGGAAAAACATGCCAGAAATATCCTTTTGGATGTTGCTTGGGAAGACCAACCCCAAGGCGGGTCAAATTGTGGGGACTGAGGTCGGGGTGAGGTGTCCTTAGTCAGCTGCAGGAAGGGGAACCCCCACATTGGCCAGGTCTCCAGTGGGGTTTGAGCGGCCTTGGCTGGCAGCAGCTGGCCTTGGAGACCACAGCTCATCAGGGCAAAGGGACCAAAGCCACCTTCTCGCTCTGTTCTTTTGCTTCCCAAGGACCCCAATCCCCTTAGGACTTACCTTCTCAGAACTGCCACATCCGTACCTCTCTTTGACAGATTTCCCGGGGGCACAGGAGGGATTTTCACAAGTGTGGTCAAAGTACACCAAGTCTTGCACTTGGTGCATAGGGGCCACACAGCCCACCCCCTTGGGAACATGATCCTTTCCCCGACTCCGAGCTTGAAAACCAAACAAAGGTCTTGGCTGCCTTACTACCCAGGTGCAGGGGTTCAGCCATGGAAATGAGATCCACCTGTGAGCTGGTTCACCCAAAGTCAGCAGGGAAGAAGAACCTCAAAGCAGCTTAGGGAACTGGTGGCTTAGAGGTTTTCACCAACCTCCTCCCACCCTGCCCCCACACCAAGTTAGGCCCTGGGCAGCCACCCTCAGGGGGTGCAGCTTTGGAGGGAAGTGCAGCCTGCATCTGGCTCTGGGATCCCTTGGGATCTGCCCTTGAGCTATAGAATCCCCAAAGTTCCAAAGGCGAGGCTGCCAGGGGGGTGAAGCCATTATTTCTGTGTGTGCTGGGTCGGAGCAGGGTACAGCCCAGAGCCAGTGGGGGCTGGGCTTCTGTCTGGGATGAGCAGCTGCTGCTTGCCTGGGCTCATCACGGTGGCAGTGACACAGCCACGGCAGAACAGCTCATGTTAAAGCCATCCCACCTTAACCCCCGGAGAAGACCCTCTGGGTGAGATGACCAAATAAGTCCCGCACTGCCAGCATCATGCCTAGCACATGGCAGGCCATTGGGAAGCGTTGCTAACAGCATGTACTGTTCTTTCCTGGTGGGAAAGCAGCTTGTCTTTGGTGCGAAGATACTTTGGTTGTATTTTAGGGCTTTGCTAGAGGATGGGGACTCTAGAATGTCTCCCAGGTACCTCAGAAACCTGGCCCAATAGCGAACCTAGTTAGACTTTGCCCTTTTATCCCCAGAAAGGCACAGTCCCCTTGCTTTACCAAGTCAAGAAAAACCTTCATTATAAGTGGCCCAGTTGACTTCCTCAGGAGGATTTACTCAGTCCTGATCCCTGTCTGCTAAGAATACTGATCAGTATTGAGATATAAAATAAGAGATATGGTTTGTGAGAGGCCTATGCTCTGGACGGGGTCTGGCAGGTCCACCGTACACTCTTCCAGGGATACCTGGGGGTGTCAGAAGGGGCATGAGAAGGAGATTCTGGAATCCCACCTCTGTAGTAGCCTGGCTTGCTCTGGAGCTTCAAGTGGGTCCAGCAGGGCCTCCATGAGCCTTCATCCCCTTGTCTGTCATTCGAAAATTCTAGTTCTAACCGACTGTGAGTTTCTCTGCCTCACCAATTGAAGAGGCAGATAAATGTTGAAAAGCTTAACTCCAAAAGTAGAGTTTTAAAGCCTAAATATATCCCAAAACATTTACTCCTTATTGATTTCTTTTTTGGAGACCCATCAACTACCCTCAATGCCAGCTGAATAAGCGTTTGGAAGTCTGACATCAGAATTGCTGTTCACACAACCATTTACCCTGGATGTGTAACTTCCCCCATCGCCCCCACCATGTGTCTACTCCCAGAGGACTAGGGACTGTCTTATTTATTTATTTATTTATTTATTTATTTATTTATTTATTTATAATATCCCTGAGTACCTTTTATAGTGCCAGACACACAATGGGTACCTTAAAATGCTTAGGAAATCAAAGGACAGAAAGGTCCCCTTGCCTTTTTCAAAGTCAGGGTGCCTGGCTAGCTTTGCACCTGCTCCAGCTTCTGTTTCAGTACACTGCTCTCAGTAGAGTAACCACAGTCTGCCGTGCGAGGTCAGCCCATGGGAGGGGTCAGGAGCTGTCCATTTCTCCTTTTGGCTTTCATCTAGCCCAAGGAGGCTAGTGCTTCAGGGGACACTGTAGTTATTTCAGAAACCCCTCTAAGACCAAAAGCTGACATCAGCTTCCAGACCCAGAAGTCTGTGTTCTATTCTAGCTGGCCCGCCTCGAAATGCAAATATCATTCTGGGGAAGGAACTTGATGATACCTTCCAGCTCAGAAGCAAAACAACATGTGTTCTGGATGAGTCATAGAGTTTCTGACCCAAGGCAAGTCTTTCTGTCCTACATGGCACTCTGCATCTTACCTAAGCCTTGACAAAGAAGCCTGTCATTCTGGGAAAGACCTATCCTTCAAGTTGATGATGCCCAGTTACTGGGTATAAGCAAACAGTTACAAAGGAAATGGGGACATCCTCTACACAGCCCAAAGGAACTCACTAATTACAGAGGCACTAACTTAAAATCACGCGAGACCAGATGGAGTTTTATTACATGCAGATCATGGCAGGGAGTCCGTGGGTGTGTTTGGAATCGGATCTCGGGTTGAAGTGGCCCCAGGATTCCACATACAGCCAGTGCAAGGTGTAGGGAGAAAGTTGAACTTCACCCTGAATGAGACCAGGAAGTCTTATAGAAGGGGTGGGGTGTAAGAGTCATTTTACGTTTTGGGAAAATGCTTACAATTATAGAATGACTAGTCGTGGGGGTGAAAAGTACAACATCAGAAATACAGCCAGTGGTATTGAAATAGTGTCATCTGGTGACAGACCATAGCTATGTGAGGTTGTCAAAGCACTGAAATGAATGTACATTGGGTGCCAACTATACTTGAATAAAAAAAAATGAATCATGGAAAAGAGCAGAATCCCTACATGGAGAGGAGTCAGAGGCTGCCTGGAAGAGGAGCCAAGGTGCCCCACCAAGGCCAGGGCCCCTGATGAGGAGCTAAAGCATGCCCTCACTTCTTAATATTGGATAAGAAAAAACTTTGAGACACATTTATGTGTTGTTAAAAATGTGAGTTGTCATTCTTCACCTGAAGGCCCCCTCACACCTGCAGCAAACCCAGGGGTAGGACAGAGTCTGCCTCCCACAGCAAAGCTCTGATATCAACCAAAGCATCTCCCCGGTAAAGGCAAACCAGGACCACCGCTGGCCCAGAGCACACTTGTATAAATTAGAAAATGGGGCAGCCCTGGTGGCACAGCAGTTTAGTGCCATCTTCGGCCCAGGACCTGATCCTGGAGACCCAGGATCGAGTCCCACATCGGGCTCCCTGCATGGAGACTGCTTCTCCCTCTGTGTCTGTGTCTGTGCCTGCCTCTCTCTCTCCCTCTCTCTCTCTCTCTCTCTCTCTCTGTATCTCTCATGAATAAATGGATAAAATCTTTAAAAAAAAATTGGAAAACACCTGTGCCTATGTTTTCCATGACCCTCCCTCACCATGCATCCTGGGCACCCACCATGAGAAAGGGGCACAGACCTTTTGGTCTGTTGTCAACCGGCTGCCCCTCTCTAGCAACGCTGTCCTCTGCTGGAAGTTCTGCCACGTGTTTCACAAACTTCTCCGAGATGGACACCCGAACGTGAGTTCCTGGGGCTACTGGGGATAGCCAGGGAGCCAGGGATCCATGTGGGGAAAGTGGAATCGCCTGGGGTGAAAGGGGCGCTACCCACTCCCACATAGAGGGGGGTAAGTGCCTCCTTCTCATGTCCTTTTGATTACTGGTTAGAGGCGGGCTTGTCTCTGGCTAGCCTGTCTGCCAACCCTAGCCCCATCTCACACCATCTTCTGTCTCCTTGCCTTCTCTTCTCTCATCAACTGTTCTCTTCCTTCTCCAGGTCCTGAAGGACTCCCTGAGATACAAAAATGAATTGAGTGACATGAGCAGGATGTGGGTGAGTTTGGAGATGCACCCGGGGGCCTCCTGTACCTGCTTCTCCTTCTCCAGAAGCCACAGAACAAGGACTGGGGAACAGAATGAATTCATCTCTTTCAACTTTCTTAGGATTTCTCTATCTCATGAGCATCAGGGAGGGGTCAACGATGTTCCCCAGTAGTACCATGATATCCACAGTCTTACCTGGGGTCCCTGCAGCTAGAGGGAAGTTCTAGGGCCTGGGAATTTCTCCTGCCAATGGACCCTCACATCGTAACATTTTCCAGGCATTGGGATCCCTCAGCAGTGACTTTGCCAAAGTTCCTGCGTCTGTCTCTCCTTCTGCAGTCCCATGTGGATCACAGTACCTTGAGAACTAACATTCCTGATTCTTAATGCCAGTACATTTTCTTCCCCTTCTTCCCTGAGAATTTAGGGATTCTCAGTGCCTTAGGCTGGGGTGAGAAGGTAGGTGGTGGCTTCAGAATAAACTGGAAAAGAAGGTTTTTATACACATGCAAGAACTCCTCTAGATTCTATTGTCCAAAGAGTATGTGTATGGATGGCACATAATTTACATTTTGAAGACTATCCTGTGTTGATTGTGATACATCTCTTTGCCCCTACTGATTGAGAGTTCTGGCCCTTTCCTTCAAATTCTTTCCTGTATGTCTGCACTCACAGAATGTCAGCAATTATGTCATCCAGTCCACCCATTGGTAATGAGAATACAGGCCCTGAGAGGGAAGCAGGTTTTCCTACATCACAGGCTGGTTGGTCTGAACAAAGCTGAGACCAAACATGCTCCCCCAAACCTCCCAGGTGCATGCTGGAGAGCTTTCTATTATATCTCTAAACATGGAAAGCTTGGGTGTTCTTTTTTGTTGGAATTTGTATCTTTTTCCACTCCTTTACTTTTGACTTTTCTATATTCTGTGTCCTAGAAAAGTCTCTTATAAATAGCATTTAGTTGGATTTTGTTGTTGCTTTTTTCAAGATGACAATCTTGGTCTTTTAGCTGCACATTTACCCCATTTATATTTATTGTAATGCGAGAATTTTCTTAGATTTATATCTTCCATCTTAGTTTGTGCTTTCTATTTGCCCCTTCTTTCTTTCTATTCATTTCTTGTCTTCTTTGGATTGACTGGGTGTTTTTTTTTTTTTTCATTCCATTCTCCCTTTATTACTAGTTAGGAGGTTTTTTTAAAACTCTGATTTTTTACTTTTATATGTTATCCAGTAATTACAAAATGTATATTTAGTTTATGAAAAGCTAAAATTCTTATCTTTAACTATTTCCTCTATGACACAAAGACCTTAGAATATTTTCATCCATGCCCTCTCTCTAAACTTGTCTGTTATTGTTGTCATGTATTTTAATTTTGGTTTTATTTGGTTTTTTTTACACTCTATATAAGACATTTTAATTTAATTGTTTTATTCTGTGCTCTTTCTTTATATCTCCATTCTAACATCTGAGATCCCTTTTTTGCTTCCTGAATTATTTTCTTTAGTGAGAATCTCATGGTGGCAAATAACCGATTTTACTTGTTTGGGAATGTCTTTATTTCACCCTCCTACATGCAAAATATTCTCTCTGGGTTTAAGATTCTCTGGGGTTATTTTCTCTCAGCACTCTCAGCACTGTTATTTTCTCTCAGGATAGACGATATTTTTCAAGAATATCCTTCCACTAACTTCTGGATTCTATCATTTCCATGAAGTCCTGTCAGACTGTCAGACTCATTATCCCTTCTTTGAAGCAAACCTGGTTTTCCTCTGGCCATTTTTAAGTTCTTACTAGGGGTGGCTCAGTGGTTGAGCATCTGCCTTTGGCTCAGTTCATGATCCCAGGGTCCTGGGATCGAGTCCCATGTCAGGCTCCCCAAAGGGAGCCTGCTTCTTCTTTTGCCTATGTCTCTGCCTCTGTCTCTCTCTGTCTTTCATGAATAAATAAATAAAATTTTACAAAACAAAAGATCTAAGAGTAGATACAGATTTATTTGGAATTCCTTAAACTTCTTAAATCTACAACGTAATATCTTTTATTAGTCTTGAAAAATTCTCTTTGTCTCTTCAGCTATTGCCTTTGCTCCATTCTATATTTACCTCTGAGACTTTGGTTATGTTATTTTTTTCCTACTCTATCCCCCAGTGTCTGTTTTTTTTTAAGCAAGCTCTATGCCCAATATGGGGCTTGAGCTCATGACCCTGAGATCAAGAATTTCATGCTACACCAAATAAGCCAGCCAGGTGCCCCCCCCCACCCCCACCCCCCCGCTCACCCCATGTCTTTAAACTCCTGCTTCATGGTTTTCTACCTGTTTTCCTCTTTCCTGCATTCTGCATAATTCCAGTAAATCCAACTTTTAGTTCATTTGTTTCATCTGGGCCTAATATGTTGTTAAACCTCTTCATAAGATATATAATTTTAGTCTAGCTTTCATTTCTTGGGGTTCTTTTTTCCCCCCAAATCTGTTTGTCATTTTTTTATATATATATATTTTTAAAGATTTTATTTATTTATTCATGAGATACACACACAGAGAGAGAAAGGCAGAGACACAGGCAGAGGGAGAAGCAGGCTCCATGCAGGGAGTCCTATGCGGGACTTGATCCCGGGACTCCAGGGTCACGCCCTGGGCCAAAGGCAGGCACCCAACCGCTGAGCCACCCAGGGATCCCCTGTTTGTCATTTTTTAATGATTTCTTGTATCCTGCATATATTTTGAGACAGCCTTTTATTTATTAAGACAAATTAAACAGTGATTTCATATATCACTTCTTATATTTCCATTATCTAAAGTCCTTCAAGATCTATTCCTGTCATCCATTGTTTTTGATGAATGTTGTTCATGCTATGGAGTATCTTCTTGTGCTTAGTTATTTTTTACTGTGAGTTGCTCATTTTCCTAAGAATCTTATTTGTGATAAATAAAAATTAAAAAAAAAAAAAAGGGAACCTGGGTGGCGCAGTAGTTTAGCGCCTGCCTTTGGCCCAGGGCGCAATCCTGGAGACCCGGGATCGAACCCCACGTCGGGCTCCCGGTGCATGGAGCCTGCTTCTCCCTCTGCCTATGTCTCTGCCTCTCTCTCTCTCTGTGTGTGTGACTATCATAAATAAATAAAATTAAAAAAAAAAAAGAATCTTATTTGTGGGAACTCTTTCACGTCAGGTTCCTCCAGAGAGAATGGGCATTTGCTTCCATTGAAATCACTCTAAATTAAATTCTCAGCTTAAGGTTTTGTGAATTCCAGGCAGATTCCCTTGAGCTCTGGCTCCTAGGTCCAATTCCCAGGGGTTGTTTTTCCCTCCCTCTGATCTACAACAGTGGTTTGAGGCCCTCAGGGAGAACTCCTTAGGTGCTGGAGTGCTGGGATCTGTTTTATTTCCAATTCACCCTTAGTTCCCCTATATCAGGGAAGCAATCTTTGCTCTTCCACCAGACTTTTAAACGTGGGCAGGCCGGAGCCCTGCCTCCTATCCACCACCTAGCTCCTGAGATCCAAAGAACCAAAGTTTAGTTCACCTGGTGTGGCAAAACCCCTGTCCCCTCCCCACCAACTCCATCACCCCAATATTCCACTTATTCTTCTACTACCTATATGGATTCAGTCCTTGGCCTGAGGATTCCTTACACTCCTGTTAGCTCATTAATGCCTTCAAAAAGAAGTTTTAAATATTTTACTCAATATTGTAGTAGTTTTCAGTAGGAAAGTCAGCCCAGATACCTAGCCTGACTTGTTACCCAAACTGGTATTCCTTTTGGCCTTTTTTCCTTTGTAGTTGTCTCTTCCGTTTGGCTGAGAGTTTCTGGATAGTAGGAACCTTTTTACTTTTTTTTCTTTTCAATTAAGACATTTTTTAAGGTTTATTGAGAAAGAGCACACACCCCAGTGTGGGGAGAGGCTGAGGGAGAGGGAAAGAATCTCAAGCAGACTCCCTGCTGAGCATGAAGCCTGACCTGGGGCTTGATCCAAGGACCCCAAGATCAGGACCTGAGGGGATCCCTGGGTGGCCCAGCGGTTTAGCGCCTGCCTTTGTCCCAGGGCGTGATCCTGGAGACCCGGGATTGAATCCCACATCGGGCTCCCGGTGCATGTAGCCTGCTTCTCCCTCTGCCTGTGTCTCTGCCTCTCTCTCTGTGTGTGTGACTATCATAAATAAATAAAAATTAAAAAAAAAAAAAAAAAGATCAGGACCTGAGCTAAAATCAAGAGTTGGCCACTTAACTGACTGAGCCACCCAGGAGCACCACCCCTCACTTTTTTTTTATTTTTTTTTTATTTTTTTATTTTATTTTATTTATTTATGATAGTCACACAGAGAGAGAGCTAGAGAGAGAGGCAGAGACATAGGCAGAGGGAGAAGCAGGCTCCATGCACCGGGAGCCCGACGTGGGATTCGATCCCGGGTCTCCAGGATCGCGCCCTGAGCCAAAGGCAGGCGCTAAACCGCTGCGCCACCCAGGGATCCCCTCACTTTTTTTTTAGAGCAAGTTTTAGGTTCACAGCAAAATTAAGCAGAAAGTATGGAGATTCCCCCTGTACCCCCTGCCCCCAAACAGGTGTAGTATTCCCATTAGGAACATCCCCTGCCAGCGTGGTATATTTGTAACAAGTAACACATCTTCACTGATACATCACCTGAAATCTGTAGTTTACATTATAGTTCACCTGTGGTATGTATTGTGACATATATTCTGTGACTTTGGACAAATGTATCAGGACATGTAGCCATTACTGTAGTATCATACAGAATCCTTTTACTGACTTCGAAATCCTCCGTGCTCCACCTATTTGTCCCTCTCTACCTCCCCTGGCCCCTGGCAACCACTCATCTTTTTTTTTTTTTGTAAGATTTTTATTTTCTTTATTTGAGAGAGAGCATGAGCAGGGGAGGAGCAAAGGGAGAGGGAGAAGCAGCCTCTCCATTGAGCAGGGAGCATGACACATGGCTCATCCCATACCCTGAGATCATGACGTGAGCTGAAGAAGGCAGACACTCAACTGACTGAGCCACCCAGACACCCCCAACCACTGGTCTTTTTACTGTCTCCACAGTTTTGCCCTTTCCAGAATGTCATAGGATTGGAATCATATAGTATGTGACCTTTTCAGATTAGCTTCTTTCCCTTAATAACATGCAGTTAGGTTCCTCCATGTTTTTTCAGGGCTTGATAGTTCATTTCACTTCTGGTGCTCAGTAATACCCCATTGTCTGAATGTACCACAGTTTATCCATTCACCAATTAAGGTGTTGGTTGCTTCCACGTTTTGCAGTTATAAATAAGGCGTCCATAAACATCCATGTGAAGGTTTTGTTTGAACATAAGCTTTCAGTTCCTTTGGGTAAAAACCAAGGAGTGCTATTGCTGAATTATGTGGTAAGAGTAAGTTCAGTTTTATAAGAAACTGCCAAACTGTCTTCAAGAGTGGCCGCACCACTCTGCACTGCCACCAAGCAATGAGTGAGAGCTCCTATTGCTCCACACCCTCACTGGATTTGGTATTCTCAGTGTTCTGGATTTTGGCTGTTCTTCTAACTAAATGTGTGCTGGTATCTCAGTGCTGTTTTAATTTGTGTTTTCAGACGATGTGGAGCATCTCTCCATATATTCTTTTGCTAACTTCTTTGTATATCTTCTTTGAAGAGGTGTCTGTTAAGGTCTTTGGTCCATTTTTTAAAATCAAGTTTCTTGTCATCTTATTGTTGAGGTTTTTTTTTTTTTTTTAAGGTTTTTTATTTATTTATTAATGAGAGACACACAGAGAGAGACAGGCAGAGACACAGACAGAGGGAGAAGCAGGCTCCATGCAGGGAGCCTGACGTGGGACTCGATCCCGGGTCTCCGGGATCACACCCTGGGCTGAAGGCAATGCTAAACCACTGAGCCACCTGGGCTGCCCATTATTGTTGAGTTTTAAGAATATTTTGTATGGTTTGGATAACAATCTTTTACCAGATGTGTCACAGTCTGTGGGTCCTCATTCTAATGACAGTGACTCTTCCAGATGTTTTTTAATTTTAATGAAGTCCAGCTTGATGATCAATTATTTCCTTCATAGATCACAATTCTGGTGTTCTATCTAAAAAATTATTGCCATACAGAAGGTCATCTGTGTTACCTCCTATGATTTTTATAATTTTACATTGTACATTGAAGTCTACAAGCCATTCGTCTTTTGTTTTTTGGTCCTGGTGCATTTTCATGTGAAATATAGTTATCTTCAGTGATGAGCATAGTTTCACTTTGTCTGCTTTCCACTAGTTTCTAATTTTTCCATAATGAACAAGTATAACATACAATTCATAAAATACGATTTTTCATAGAAAACTAATACATGAGGAAATAGTGTCATTTTTGGCATTGATATTTTTAACCTACTGTGATGACCCCCGTCCCTTTGGTGACCTTCAAGGCATACTTCAGTAGGGTTCCTCTACTCTAGAGGATGTAGATGCACCCAGAAGAAAATTTAGAAATTAGAACTCATGTGGGAAACACAGCTGTTCAATGGAAGAGTTCTTTTTGCCTCTACCCCCCTTCTTTTTTGTGTGCAACTGGGAGTTGCAAGTGTCACTATGCTAATTTCAGCTTCTGGGCAGACTCTTTGGGAAGGCCTATTTGTCCCCAGCTGAGATCTGTCCCATTTCAATCCCCATCCCATGTAAAATGCTCTAGACACTCTTAGTCTCCTGGAGTCCATCCGGAGGTGTTTCCTCTCCAGCACTTAGATAAGAGAGATGGAAGGAAGGAAACAGCCTATGACCAGACTGTGATTACCTAGGATGGGAGACTTCAAATTCTTAAGTCAGAAGACTTGTCTAGAATTTATGCAAAGGAAGTCCTCCTGTTTGTACATAAGATTATACCGTAAGAACGAACATTCATTGGAATACAGCTTATAGTAGAAAAACATGCCTACAACTAAAACATACAACAGTAAGGAGTTTGTTTGATAAGTTACAGCATACGCTTATAATATCATTAAAAATATCACTAGAAATAATGAAACAAAAAAATTTGAGAAGATAGGAAAAAAACTGAAGCATAAAGTTAAAAAATGGATTCCATCTTATATAATATTTTTTAAAGATTTAATTTATATATGTGGGAGAGAGAGAGAGAGAGAGAGCATGAGCAGAGGGAGGGACAGAAGGAGAGGAAGAAGCAGACCTCTTCACTGAGCAGAGAGTCTGATGTGGGGCTGGATCCCCAGATCATGACCAGAACCCAAGGCAGATGCTTAACCAATGAGCCACCCAGGTGCCCCTCTATTTTATATTTTAAAATAAAAGTAGAACACAGAAGGTTTTTAAGGCAGTGAAACTATTGTGTATGATACCATAATGACAAGTATGGGACATTATACATTTGTAAAAACCCATAGAATGTACCACACCGAGAGCAATTCCTAATGTAAACTTCACTTTGGACAATAAGGATGTATCGGTGAAGTTCACTAGTTGGAACAAATGTCCCACTCGGATGCTGATGTTGACAGTGGGGGAGATTTTGTACATGTGGGAGTAGGGAGTAGGAAATCCCTGTACTTTCTGCTCAATTTTCCTGAGAACCTAAAACAGCTCAAAAAAATAACATCTACATTATTTTAGGGGCACCTGGCTGGCTCAGTCAGAAGAGCATATGACTTTTGTGTTTTTTTTTTTTTTTAGATTTATTTATTTATTTAGAGTGTGTGAGCAGGAGGAGGGGCAGAGGGAGAGAATCTCCAGCACAGTCTGTATTGAGCAATCAGCGATTCCTGATCCCACAACCCAGAGATCGTGTTCCGAGCCAAAATCAAGAGTTGGACACTCAACTGACTGAGCACCCAGGCACCCCAAGCATATGACTCTTAATCTCAGGGTTGTGAGTTTGAGCCCCATATCAGTTGTAGAGATTACTTAGAAAATAAAACTTTAAAAAATATATCTATTTAAATGGAAATTAAAAAAAATGTTTAAATAACATTTTGTCCTTCAGAATGTCAGCCATGATTCTATCTGGTGTTTAGATTAAGGGTGATTTTTTTGTATTGGTGCTTGTCACAATGGCCATTTGTTCGTTTCAGAATCAAAAAAAAATACATCGTTGAAAAAAGAAGTCCTGGCTGTCAATCTCTTCCCCAAATGTTAGTATTGATGTACTACTTTCTTATCTTTTCCCGGAAGGGCCACCTGAGTGAGGGGTATGGACAGCTCTGCAGCATCTACCTCAGACTGCTAAGAACGAAGATGGAATATCACACCAAAGTGAGTTTGCCAACAGTTGTCCCAGCTCTTGCCCCACAACCCCACTGGTATTCCTGTGGGCCAAACTCTTAGGTCTTTCTGGGAATAAGGCAGCTCCAGCCTCTCAAAGAATGTTATATCATATCCAGTGAGAGGATATTTTACCAGCCTGTTGCAGTCAGGCCCCCATGATGGGACATGGGACTGAGATTCTGGCTCACATCTTCCACACTCTTTCTTTATTCCCCATTTTGCAGAGAGGAGCCCTATCCACTAAGTTGCCTTAGGAGAATATTTCAGAAGCACTGACTTGACTTAATAAGAACAATCCTTTTATGTAGTGAGTTCCCACACAGAACCTTCTTTTCGTCCATCTGTGGCCTTAGACAGTATTTCTAATGCATCTAATACAGGCAAAACCATTGTGCTGGGTACAAAGTGGCACATAAGGATACTCAGAAAGGGTCTGCTCGTCAGGAGTGCCCTGATCAGCCAGGGGGAGGAGGCTTATGTACCTGTGGCCTTGTGTCAGTGCAAAGTGGTCCCGCAAGCCTATAACCCGAGCCAGAGGCATTCTGAAATGATGCAGGGCTGTGGCTTCGATGGGGAAGATGAAGGAAGTGGGCCCGAGGCAGACCATGGATGGAGCAAGGGGTCGGGAGGAATGGCCTGGCAGTAGAGGAGGAACTAGCCTCCGTCAGCTAGCTGGCATTGGAAATAGGGAGGAGTGGAGATTTACCTCTTAAGGACTTGAGGGGTGGCTCTGATTCATGGAATCCACCCTAGTATACTAGGCATTCCTGTGTACTGTTTAATTCTCTCCTCAACTGTAGAGAGGAGGTATTCAGATAGCCTAGGGAAATGAAACTGGGAGCATGTCGAGTGTGTGCCTCATCACACAGCTCCCCAGTGGTTAGGTGGGATTTGAACCCCAACCTATAGGATGCTAAAGCCAGTGCTGCTCAGTGGCCACCCTTTCCTTGGCTTGCGTACCTCTGGGTGTTCACGCAGGCCAGACCTGGGTTAGGTTCTAAAGAGAGAAAGGTAAATAGACTTTGGCCCTGCCCCCAGAAGTCGTATTTGCTTGGGAGACAGGGCAGGCAAGTACAGTGAGGACCAGATCTGAGAGATGCAGCAGATGGTACCAGCGCTTATACTGGCGTGTTGCACCCAAACTCCAGCGACCCAGGTAAGCTTCTCAGAGACAGGACACTTGAGCTGACCTCCAGCTCAGTGGCTGAAACACCAGCAGCCCTTTATCATCTCTCACACCTGTTGGTTGGGAGTTCCAGAAGGGCTGGGCTGGGCAGTTATGGCTGCAGCTCCACCATGTGGTCACCATTGGTCTTGGCTGGAGCTGGGATAACGGGGAGCTGGCCCAGGGTCTCCCTCCTCGTGAGGTCTCAGTGCTAGTGAGGACTTCCTTGCAGTCTGGCCAGTTTCCCAAGAGAAAAAGGTAGAAGTGCATGGCATTTATATGAGCCAGCCTCCAAGTCATAAAGCACCCCTTCCACTGTCCTATATTGACTGAGGCCATTACAGAGGTCACTAGATTGGAGAGGATAGGACAGGGACCACACTGGCCAAGGCAGAATGTCAAAGTCACATTGTAAAGACAGTGTGTTGAATCAGAGGGGTAGCCATTGACTGTATCGGAGTCTGCCAATACCCTCTGGCCCCATGGTGCACTCCCCTGCCTCCCTCCCTCTCTCCCAAGGATCACACTCACACCTTCCCCAGACCCCCAGGTCCTTGTCTGTCACATTGCAGGAAGAGAGGAGCCACTGAAGAAGGCAAGGTGGCAGTTCCAGGCAGAGAGTCAGCTACAGCCGCAGATCCACAGTGTGAGGAACAGGCAGGTGGAGAGTGAAGGGTAGCCGGGCAGCTGTGTGGGACCATCCCATTCAGAGTGGTAGACTGAGAGCTGGGTTAGGATGCTGGTCACTGGGACAGGCAAGAGTGGTGGAGACTCTCTGAAGGCTGGTAGTACAGGTGGAGGGCAACAGCTAGGAAGATGTGGGGCTCATGGGAAGGACCTGGGTGATCAGAAGAAGTGCAGGAGCCTGGGGAGGCAGAGTGAGGCCCCTGGCACTCTGGGCTCTGGGCTCCGGGAGGACACAGTACAGGTATGAGTGTCCCCTTGTGTCCTGTGTCCTGCCCAGCATCTAGCCCAGAACAGGTGCTTCAGTCAGGACTCCTTGAACAATGGACCAAATGAACCAGAACTGAGATCAGATCAAATAGGACACAAGGAAGGCTGGAGAGGCTGGCTGGTCCTTCTTCTTTTGAAGCCAGTGGATCAGGACAGCTAACATGTTCAGAACGGGGAAGGGAGTGGGAAGCAGGGTGCCAAGGGAGTCCCAGTGATGTGAGGAGGAAGGCACATACCAAGGGTGGGGGCGTGGGAGCCAGGCACCCAGTCTGAGGACAGAACAGTTACGGACAGAAAGGGGAGCCCGTCAGGGCTAGTAGCAATGACCGGGAAGGGGCACTAAGGCTGGAGAACACGATTAAAGGGGACTCCAGCTGTGAGTCCTCCTCCAGAGATGTTGGCAGCTAATCTTCGCCCAAAGACCCAGGCTTACTGGGTTCTGACAGGACTGTGGTGGAAGGACAGGCAGCAAGAAAGGTGAGGGATGAGAGGACAGATTTCTGCAGTGTCCAGACAGAGCCAGGAGATTAAATACGGCCAGAAGGGGGCGCTCAAGGAACTGGCCCACCTTGAGACCAAGGAGCAGGGGTGGCGAGTCTAAGGCGGGGAGTGGCCTCCAGGGCAGAGGGGATAGCCAGGAGGTGTGCGGTGGAGGGTTTCTGTCTTCAGAGCCCAACGTGTGCTCCGTGGAATTGAGATCCTCTCGACTGGCCACCCGTCTGTCCTTGCCCATCTGTACCTTTCCCTTTGTAGTGCCTTCCACCCACTCCAGGCAGGCCACACTGGGGAAGAGACAGTGATATGGGTATTTGACAAGATTGATGATGCATAATAATTTCTCCTGACTTTGGGGGCTCATGATGTAATGTTTTCCTACCTTCAGGTTTATTTTATTATGTTTCCCTAAAGCCAATATGAAAACAGGTTTGCCTTCCCTGAACTCACCACTGCAGCCTCTGGAAGGAGCAGAAGAACAGAGGGAAGCGTGGGTGGGGCTCAGAATGTACTGGGGCTATGCAGATGCGGGACGGACTGCACCTCATGGATGGTGGAGGGCCAGCTGCTATCACGCTAAGCCTCCAGAGAGCATCTCTAGAAGAATTTCCCAGGACACCAATTGTTAGAGCAGAGCCCTGTCCCAGTTCCCAGGGGTGGGATGGAGCCTTCCCCTCTGATGATGGGTAGTGGATGTTCTCTGCTGTGAGTCTGTCAGGGGTCTGTATGTACGGGAGGTTCTGTGCACTGACACCAACCCCCTCGAAGCATGTGGATGATACACAAGCAGAATCAAGCCTGCTGCTGCCCAAGCTCTGTGTAGACAGTTTGCCTGGTGTTGGCTTAGTTGAGGGGCTCTGTCCTGACTTCATTCCTCTGCCTCCCTTTCCAGAATCCCAGGTTCCCAGGCAACCTTCAAATGAGCGACCGGCAGCTGGATGAGGCTGGAGAGAGTGACGTTAACAACTTGTGAGTGGCCATCTTTGTGCTGTGGACCCAACAGGGAAGAAAGCTCGATGTTGCCAGTCTATAGCTAGGGTCACACAGGGCCTGATGGCCAGGGCGGTGGCTGGGGTGAGGCCTCATACTGCTGGTGCCTCATTCAGAACCCTTCTAGGCTGCCCGGGTTCGCTTCTTGGTGTCACCCTCTGCCCTCCCCTCTGTCACCATCATTGTGGAGTTTACCCTCCTTGATCTTCAAATGGCCTTAAGACCCACATAGGTGGGGGCTAAGGATTGGAGCTAGTGCGTGTGTGTGTGTGTGTGTGTGCGCGCGCGCGCCCATGCATGAGCATATGCCCATGTGTGCATGCTTGCATCTGTGCACTGAGGACAGGGACAGCAACACAGAGCAGGGGGAGGGGACAGGTAAAGCACTGGCCTTGGGCTCTAGAATATAAGCTCTCTCTCCTCTTGGGTCCAAGTTTCCAGTTGACAGTGGAGATGTTTGACTACCTGGAGTGTGAACTTAACCTCTTCCAAACTGGTGAGTCTTTCCCTCCCATCTGGCCCAGGCTCTCAGGGGAATTGCCTAAGTCCAAGCTTTGTTCCCCATTTGGACCAGCGGTTCCAGCCCCCTTCTCCCTATAGCGTTGTGCAGGAAATGGGAATATCCACACCCAATCTCTACTCTCTTGTCCCTGGTGCAGGGAGGAGCTGGAGCTCTTGGGTCTTTTCAGAGTTGGTGATTACATTCTGAGCAGAAGGGCCATGCCTCCCATCCTGCCGGCCTTCCTTTGAGAGCCCAGGCCTCCAAGAGCCCAAAGATAGGTCTGACTTCTTTGATAACCTTCAATCTGCAGCCCCAGTGCTGACTGGTGCTTTGTCAAATACGCAGCTAGGCTGGCACTGGGGGCGGATTTCTGCGCAGGAGGAGGGGCTGTCATGTGCTGTTTGGTTGGCAGCCAGGGTCGACCAGCTGGTCGAATTGAGTTGTTGACCAAATCTATGTGAGAAGCCCATGAAGCCCCTTTTCACCAGAAAGGGGAGTTGGCCACACTTCAGGCTCCCTTCACTGAGAGTTCTGGTGCCTTCCAGCTGTCAGCCCCTAACACTTCCTTGACAAGAACCAGGAAGGAAGCAGTCCGTTCCCTTCTCTCTGGGGTCCCCTCTTCCCCACACCTGTCAGCATGGCTCCCCCTTCTCTCCCGGGGAACAGAAGAGCCCATTTTCTAAGATTCAAGATGCTCCATGACAAGTGTTCAGCTCCATGAAAGAAAGGATTCCAAGCTGGGAATATTCGTGCACAAGCTTGGTGACCTTCTCAGCATTTGCACATGTGGGACCCACTCTTGGGGCTCTGATTTTCTCAGGAAAAAACAGACACGTTCTCACCCTGAATTACACCTTCCTTTGGCATGTTCATCTGTGCAACCGATACTTACAACTGGCCTGTTACCAGCTAGTGCTGTGCCAGGCCTGTGCCAGGGAGTCAAATGCCTTTATACTTGAACCAATCAGTTCAGTGCAGGATGTATGAGAGGAACACCACGAACAGTTGGAAACCATGATTTGTAGGAGAAATCAGAAGGTACTTGGCTTGCTAGCAACCTTCTTCTACAAAAGTCAATAGACAAGTAAAAATGAAACACAAAAGAGAGTCCCTGCCCTGAGATGGTCCCCAGCCAAGTAGGAGAAATGGTATGGATGCATTTTTTTAATCTTTTTTATTTTTTAAAGATTTATTTATTTATTTTATAGAGAGAGTGCACACAAACAGGAGGGACAGAGGAAAAGAGAGAATCTCAAGCAGACTTCCTGCTGAGCTTAGAACCCAACTTGGGCTGGATCCTACAACCCATGAGATCATGATCTGAGCCAAAACCAAGAGTTGGATACTTAACCAACTGAGCCACCCAGGTGCTCCTACCTGGCTGTTTTTGTTTTGTTTTAAGATTTCATTTATTTATTCATGAGAGACACAGTGAGAGAAGCAGAGACATAGGCAGAGGGAGAGACAGGCTCCCTATGTGGAGCCTGATGCAGGACTTGATCCCAGGACCTCAGGATCGTGACCTGAACCAGACAGATGCTCAACCACTGAGCCACCCAGGTGCCCCTACCTGGCTGTTTTTATATGTTGATCACTTGTATCATTACCACTGGATGCTGAGCTCCTTCCCAGAATCAGGAACTCATCTTTGAATTATCTCCCTCTGTTCTAGCCTAGTACCTGATATAATAGCAAGCGCTCAATGAAATTCAAGAATTGCTTCAGATAAACAGCAATGAGGAAAGGACAGGGGAACAGGGTTCATAAAACAGTGTCAATATCTAGCCCAATGCTGTGGGGTTATTGGGATTAATCCGCCACTTAGAGCTTTTTACCGGGGGGAGCTACCCCAAGTCTTGGCACAAACCCCAGTGGTTAAATGGTGGTGGCTTTCTTGCCTGTGAATGAGCACTGACTTGGAATCAAGAGCCCTCTACTACTCGTCTCCCCCATTTCCCATCCCATCCCCAGTTCCCTACTGAGTGCCACAAAAAACAAGGGAACTGGTATTGGAAGAAGCCTCACCAATTTCTGAGTCTTAGTCTGTGACCCTGCAAGGTTCCAAGCTGTACCCTCAGGTCCCTCTGGTTTTCAACTGTGGGAAACATGGGCCAGTTCCAGTTAACATTAATTTCCAGCACTTGCAACCGTTTTTAAAGTGTGGTCCCTGGACCAGCAGCATCTCCTAAGAACTTGTTAGAAATGCCACCCCCCAGGTGCCACCCTAGACCTAATGAATCTGAATCTCTGAGGGTAGGGCCCAGCCATCTGTGTTTTCTCAGCACTCCCACCACCACCAGCCCCCAGTCAGGTCTACACTGTCCAATATAGTAGCCACTAGCCATGAGCGCCTATTTAAATTAATTATAATTAAATGACATTAAAAAGTCAGGTCCTCGGTTGCACTAGCCATATTTCAGGCACCCAGTAGCCACATGTGGCAAGCATAGGTACACAGAATTCTTTTGCACAATTGCTACTGGGTGATTCTGCGGCAAGAGAACCACTCAGCTAGGAAATCCAGTTTTCAACCCTGGCTGCCTATTAGAATCACCTGGGGGGCTTTTGAAACCTACTTCTGCTCCAGGCCTACCCCAGACCAATTAAAACAGAATGGGAGGTAGGGGAGTTACAGGCAAACATTAGATTTTAAATATCCCCAGGGGATTCCAATCAATCACAAAGCCAACACTGAGAACCACTGCCTTGCTCTGCGCTTGACTCGACATTGTCCTTGAGTACCTACAAGACCTTTTTGAGGTACGGGCTATTAGAATCACCTGCATTTTACATGAAAGCACCTGGAGGCACAGAGAGGTTGGGTAACTTGTCCAAGGTCACACTGCTCTAGACGTTACCCGATGCCAAGGGGCATTCCTGGAAAGCGGCAGGCAGGCTGGAAGATGGAGCAGTCTGTGATTCCTTGCCAGAGTGGAGTCCAAGGAAGCCAGTAAACTTGAAGGTGGCTGCCTTGCAGTGACAGCTGCTTTTAATTTGTGTCAAACAGAAAAGCTGCCTTTTAATTAGAACTGTTTGGGATTTTTTCTTTCTTTTTTTCTTTCAACTGCCAGAGTAAGCCAGTTAACAGGGATTAGTGTAATCAGGAAAGACTGAGCACAGCAGCTCTGGGCTTTCCTCCGGGGCAGTCCGGCCCACTGATTTTTTTTTTCAATGCTGGCCACAATGGAGTCTGCAGGTGTTGGGCAGCCGCTACAGGAAGGAGTTCAACCCTGGCCAGTGGTGTGCGCTGAGGGTCCACAGCCAGGCATCTGGTTGCTTGGTTTAAGAACAAGGGGTATGGGGTGCCTGTGGGGCTCAGTCACTTAAGCATCTGCCTTCCATTCAGGTCATGATCCTGAGGTCCTGGGATCGAGCCCCGCATGGAGGAGCCTGCTTCTCCCTCTGCCCTTCCTCCTGCTTGTGCTCTCTCTGTCTCATTCTCTCTCACTCTTTCTCTCTGATAAATAAATAAAATCTTTTTTAAAATTAAAAAAAAAAAAAAGAACAAGGGTTACGGGGCACCTGGGTGGTGCAGTTGACTGAGCATCCAACTCTCGGTTTCCACTCTGCTTGAGATCTCAGAGTCGTGGGATCGAGCCCCATGTCAGGCTCCGCATTTTGCATGAAGTCTGCTACAGATTCTCTCTCCCTCTCCCTCTGCCCTTTCTGCTCACGTCTTTTCTCTGTCTCTCTCTGTCTCTCTCTCTGTCTCCTTAAATTAATAAATTTTAAAACGAACAAGGGGTAGGAGGAAGAGGGTAATGTGGAGGGGTCTGTAGAACAAGACACTGAGGAGTGATGTGCTGTCTGCAGAGGGCAGTACTTCTGCTGATCTGCCCCCTAAGGACCAAAGGCAGCCTTTGATCCTGATGGTTCATCCTCTCCATAGGTCCCCCCACTGTCCACCCAGGGCTCCTGCCATGCCCCCTTCTGGTGTCCCAAGACCCTGTGGCAAGCCACCAGGGAGCTAGGGCTGAATTATTCCCTCCTTCGCGTTCTGATCAATGTTTGCTATTTCCCCCACACACACATGATTGCCTTCGGGGGCTCACTCTGTCTCCTCACCTGTTTCCCTGTCCCACAGGAGTGTTGTAAGGTGGTAACTACATCAGATGACACAGTGCAGGTCCTTGGCATGGGTCAGACCCCTGCTTCCTGCCCCTCTGAGAAGGTCACCTGCAATTTCTTGTCCCTACTGCCTGTGTCCCCTTTTTATTCTCTAGTGTTCAATTCCCTGGACATGTCTCGCTCTGTGTCAGTGACGACAGCTGGGCAGTGCCGCCTTGCCCCGCTGATCCAGGTCATCTTGGACTGCAGCCATCTGTATGATTACACCGTCAAGCTCCTCTTCAAACTCCACTCCTGTGAGTATGCTTCCAGCCAGAAGGATTACAGCCTGAGGGTGTCCCTGAAATGCAGGCTCTTGAGTGTCTTTTCTGCCACAGCTCGCAAAGGCCCTAGAGCTCCCAACCCTCTTGGGAGTAGAGAACTGCAGAACACAAGCTTTGGTGTGCCCAGGGAAGCACCTGGCTTGCCACAGTGGTGTCCTAGGATGGCCCTTTCCCTCTACTTCTGGCTTCACCACATCTCTGTCCGTACATGTCATGTGTTCTAGGGACCCACACGAATGATACCAGACCCGGTCTGTCCAGGCACAAAGGCAGTAGTTTCCAAAGTGTTCATCCACACAGCTTCTCTGTACAAGTGGAGGTTTGGGGAAATAGAAAACCTAAAGCAGAACTGTTCTAGCACACAGTGGGCCATCCCCTCTCCAGCCTCAGATCCCTGGGATGCTTTTGCAGATTCTATTTTGGAAACTACTGATCTTGGAGAGTTCTTAGACTTCTTTGCGCCTCTTTCTTTAAAACAATGTGTGTGGGTCCTGCTCCTGCAGAGTCTGCGTTGGTGGGACGGGTAGGTTCTGGTCTGCGTTGTTAAACCTTATACCCCAGGCGAAGCTAATGTGGGTGGTATCTGGGCCACACTCAGAGGTGTTTACCATGAGGGATATACACAATCAGAATGTACAAATGATGGAGAGCAAAGAAAAAGCAAGACCTGAATGGATACTAGCAAGGTTTTATGGCCCTGGCAAAGAGACAAGGATGCATTTTGGGAGACAGAGGCAAAAGGCATACTCTAAAACTGTGGTCATTGATGAAAAGTGGGTTTGATTATTTAGGCAGGAAAGAAGAAGCAGCATCACTCAGGTTAATCCAGGAGCATCTGGTGGAAGGGAGGTGGGGATCGGTTGTTTAAGCCTTAGGAAGGCTTTGGAGCAAGTGGGCACACCGGGAGGAGCAGGGGGAGGACTGAATCCCAAGAGAAGAAAGGTGGTTGCCCTACACAGTATATGCTTGTTTAAAAATGAAAGTTGTAAAGATCATTCAGAAAGTGCCCACATACCCTGAACCTTGTTCCCTTTATTAATATCTTACATTATTGCAATGCACTTGTCACAGTGAATGGACCAGTATTGATATCCATACTTTATCCATACTTTCATACTGGATAAAGTATGAAATCCATACTTTATCCAGATTTCCATGGCTTTTACCTAACGTCCCATCCAGGACAGGCGCGTCACATTACATCATTGTGTCTCCCTAGGCTCCACTTGGCTATGACAGCTTCTTGGACGTTCCTTGTTTTTGACAACCCTGACAGTTTCGAGAATTAGTCGGACACTTGTACAGTGTCCCCCAAATAAGTCTGTCTGATGTTTTTCTTATGAATGGACTGGGGTTAAGGGTTCTTGGGAGAGAGGCCACCAAGGTAACGTGCCACTGCCATCCACTATATACTTGGCATTTTTAATTATCATATGTTATATACAGACTCCCTATGTATACCAAATAAATGTACCACGTATGCAAAAATTACTAAAATGTACATTTAAGGAATAAAACAAGAAATAAAAGGATCACTGAGTTGTGATCTATTGTTGAGGTATGCAGAGTCATACAGTCTTAGAGGAGAAAGGACCTCAGGGAACCTACAGAGCGGAGGAGGCTGGTCTAAGAAGCTGCTGCTTGTCCAACATCATGCCGTTGGCCGTGACTGAGTGAGCCCAGACCAAGATCCTGAGTGTGGCCCTATAATCTTTGCCTTCTGACAAGCATTCTCTCAGGCAGGTTCTCTGAATCCCTTCCAAACTAACAGGTGTGCTGGACCTATCCAACATACCTCTCTGGGAGAGCCACACCTCCACCCCTGCTGGGGGTCTGTGTTGCAGCTTGGTCAGGTCACCATGGCTTCTTCTGTGGTCAGGGATGCAACTTCCAGCCCACCGTGCCCAGAATGGCTCACATTCCAGAAACAAACAGGACAGATTTGGAGGGAAAGTGCCCCTAGACTCACCGCTGGTCTTTCTGGGCCTCCTTGGTGACCTGTCTCTGGGGCAGCTCGAGGCTGGGCTGGCCACAAGCCTCAGGGTACATGGTCCTGTCCCTCTGGAGCCCCACTGTGGCTTGCCTGGTCCTCCTGTGGTCATCTTCTTCCCTCTCACTCTTTCCCAATTTCTCCCAGGTCTCCCAGCTGACACCTTGCAAGGCCACCGGGACCGCTTCATGGAACAGTTCACAAAGTAAGTGGCTTAAGTGAGAGAAACGAAGGCAAACCAAAAAATTGTATAAACTTGATTAATTCATGCAAGAGCACTTGCTTTAAAATAATTGAGGAGGGGGCAGCCTTGGTGGCTCAGTGGTTTAGCGCCACCTTCAGCCCAGGGTGGAATCCTGGAGACTCGGGATCGAGTCCCATGTCAGGCTCCCTGCATGGAGTGGAGCCTGCTTCTCCCTCTACCTGTGTCTCTGCCTCTCTCTCTATGTCTCTCATGCAATAAATAAATAAATAAATAAATAAATAAATAAATAAATAAATAAATAAATAAATAAATAAATAAATAAAATAATCGAGGAGGGCAGCCCTGGTGGCTTAGCAGTTTAGCGCCACCTTCAGCCCAGGGCGTGATCCTGGAGACCCGGGATCAAGTCCCACGTTGGGCTCCCTGCTTGGAGCCTGCTCTAACCTCTGCCTGTGTGTGTGTGTGTCTCTCTCTTTCTGTGTCTCTAATAAATAAATAAATCTTAAAAATAAGATAATCGAGGAATGAGAGTATCTTCATGATAAAGCACTACAACAAAGGAAAATAACTAGTACAGCAGCAAACCTACCACTGGCTGGTGAAGCTATCAGTTCTAAGCTATCAGTTCTCTCATAAAACCCACATGAGTGGGATACCCAGGTGGCTCATCAGTTGAGCATCTGCCTTTGGCTGAGGGTGTGATCCTGGGGTCCCAGGATCGGGTCCCACATCGGACTCCCTGCATGCTCCCTCTGCCTGTGTCTCTGCCTCTCTCTCTCTCTCTGTGTCTCTCATAAATAAATAAAATCTTAAAAAAAAAAAAAACCCCACATGAGCATGTCGAAGAAGGAGATTCCATGCATTCGTTCATCACCTGCTATATGCCCAGGGCTTCATCCTCCATTTCTTCTCCCTACATTCTCACACCATGTATAGTCTTATACTGTGTGCATAAAAAGGAACACCCAGATTTGTACCTCTGGCTACGTCTTGCCTCTGAATACCAGTCTCACATACTCAGTTGTCTGTCTTACATCTCAAACTGAGCTCTAGGGTTTTCTCCCAGGGCACCTGGGTGGTGCAGTTGGTTGAGCATCTGACTCTTGGTTTCGACTTGGATTATAATCATGGCACTGTGGGATCGAGACCCATGTTGGGCTCCTTGCTGAGCACAGAGTCTGCTTCAGATTCTCTCTCCCTCTCCCCATCCCACTCATGTGCTAGCTTGCTCTCTAAATAAATAAACAAACAACAACAAAAAAAATTTTTTTTTCCTCCCTGGCCTTTTCCATCTCCGTAAATGCTCCATTTAGGCCAGAGATCTAGAACTCACTTTTGTCCTCCCCCATGTCCAGTCCACTGGCAGATGTTCTGCAAATATATCTTGGTTCCGATTGTAGCTGCCATCTCTCAGGCTACTATTGTTGTGCGCCAGGACCCTCCAATATGGTGGGTGTGCTGGGCTTCCACTCCCACCCCCTGCACTCCTATCCCTCCCCAGGGATAGGATAACCTCGTAAAGACGTCAGTCCCTTGCTCAGAGCCTTTCAGCAGCTTCTCATTACACCAAGAATCAAATCCAAGCTCTTCTCCATGGTCTACAAGACCCTGCTTGCCATCTCTGACCTCATCTTTAGGGCTTACAGTGTTTCTGCCACACGGAGTCCTTTTCCAGTTCCTAGAACATACCCCGCTCATTTCTCTGTCAGAGCCTTTAGTGCTTGCTGTTTCCACTGCTTGGAATGCTCGTCTCCCAGCCTGGCCAGCTCCAGGTCATCTTTGGTTCCCTCCTCACAAAGGCACCTCTTTTTTTTTTTTAGATTTTATTTATTTATTCATGAGAGAGAGAAGCAGAGACATAGGCAGAGGAAGAAACAGGCTCCCTGTGGGGAGCCCGATGCAGGACTCGATTCCAGGACTCCGGGATCATGCCCTGAGCCAAAGGCAGACACAGCCCCTGAGCCGCCCAGGCGCCCTGGCCTTAAGTCTTAAATCTGTTATTTAAATGTTGGGTCTTCTTCATTTCCTGTTCCTCCAACCCCACCTTTGCCTCCTCCCACCACATATCCTGTAGCCCAGCACCTCATTTATTTTTTTCATGGTTTTTAGAACAGCTTTATTTCTGCTTAACTATCCATTATTTCATCCCTAACCCCTGATATGTAACAGCCAATTATGCATAAATATTTGGAGAAATCACTAAGCTAGTAAGCTAGCTGTCTTGTCTAGAAGAAGTGCTCATCTGACTAAGGGGCAAATTATTCTGTGCATTTGGGAAAGAAAATCGTGGGTAAGAAGAGAAGTATACCTCATCTTTCATGACTTGTGCCCAAGAAGGGAAGGAGGGGACACCTGGGTGGCTCAGTGGTTGACCTTCGGCTCAGGTCACAATCCCAGGGTCCTGGGATCGAGTCCCTCATCAGGCTCCCCACAGGGAGCTTGCTTCTCCCTCTGCCTATGTCTCTGCCTCTCTCTGTGTGTCTCATGAATGAAGAAAGAAAGAGAAAGAAAGAAGAAAGAAAGAAAGAAAGAAAGAAAGAAAGAAAGAAAGAAAGAAAGAAAGAAGAAAGAAAGTCTTTAAAAAGAGGAAAGGAAGGAATGGCGTGAGAGAGAACGCAGATGTGGAGAACCCAGGTGTTCTGTTAATTTCTTCATCCCTGACAACAGAGAAAAAGCATAGCTGCCAAATCCCAAGCCCAGTCTTCTCTTGCTGGTTCCTGAACAGCAATCAGAGAACAGGTTTAGGGTTGTGCCAGCCTCCCGGGTTCCTTATTCCGTTTGAAAACCATTATATGTTTATTCCATAATAAATGACTTATTAAATCCTAGGAGACAGGCCCTGGGGCTGATTTCCTGGAATGGTAAATTCCAGTAGCTTATGAAAGCAATGCAGCCTATTACTGTTGGCTCCAGCCCAGAAAGAGGGGGATGTGTGGTCAGGTGATTTTATTTCCTTTAATTTTTTTCTAGCTTATAAAAATCTCTCCTATGAGCGAGCAGCCGCCTCACTTTCTCGTCTGCATAGATCTGGCAGTTACCTGAGGCCTCAGTGTCGTGGAATTTGGGAGGAGCGCCAATGACCTCACAGGGGTAGTCCCAACGTTGGGGTCGGAGGGCTGTCATGAGACCCCAGGGGTTCAGTTTGTTGGGCTGAGCTGGAGGAGATTTTGTGTTGCAGGGAGTGCATGCTGAGACACACAATCCTCTTTCCTCTCAGGAAATCTGTCTGATGCTCTCCGCTTTCTCAGCCTTCCATGTTTTGATTCAAAATGGAGACCCAAAGAAGAGGAAAAAATTTGGTTTCCTCACTCCCATATCCACCCAAGATTAGGACATAGTATGAATAGATTGCTTTTCTTCAACAAAGTCTTGATGAGTTAATTCCTCTGTGCATGGTACTCTGGCAAACCTAGCTCAGCAGGGCCTGGTCTGTGCCTTCTAGAAGCTTCTAGTCCAACTGGGGAGCTAGCACGTAGCTCCAGAACAAAGTGAATTAATTAAAAAGGGATCTACTTTCATAATGAAGTTCCCCTCCCAATTCCTACGGTTAGGTGGTTTATCCTCATAGTAAATTTATTTTCACGTTATTCTAACCCAAACATTCCTGGGAAGAGACATCCACCAGGCAACAGCATAGATTCTACAGTGATACAGAAATTTGTTATGGAGTGATCCACTCTTCTAGAGGATTCTGTCCTTTGAATCCTCCTTTCCTGATCTCTGCAGTAAGTGAGGACTGGCTACAGATAACCTCCCCTGCAGTGTCACAATTGAAGCCCAGCACCATGGAGGTCATCTCCTTGACAGCCCACGCCTTGGGCTGGGCGGGCAGCAGGACAGCCGGGTGGTGCCCAGCACCCCTCAGGCTCTTTTCCACCCTCAGGCTGAAAGATCTGTTCTACCGCTCCAGCAACCTCCAATATTTCAAGCGGCTCATCCAGATCCCACAGCTGCCAGAGGTAAGCGTGCCAGGCTCCACTATAGGAGCTGCTGGGGCCAGGGTGCTCTCAGAGATCTGCAAGCCTGGCGTGACACAGTGTGAGGGTGTGTCTTCCGTCTTTAGAACCCACCCAACTTCCTACGGGCCTCTGCGCTATCAGAACACATCAGCCCTGTGGTGGTCATCCCGGCTGAGGCCTCATCCCCAGACAGTGAGCCGGTATTGGAGAAGGATGACCTCGTGGACATGGATGCCTCCCAGCAGGTGAGGAAAACCTCGAACCTGAGGATTAGGTATCACAGCAGGTGGCGAGCCCCACGTGCCTCCCGTTGTGCTGCCCCATACACGCAGAATGGGAGAGCATCTGGCCTAGACCCTTGGGCTGTAACCAAGCTTGACCACCTTCTAACCCAGACTGAGCAACCCCTGGGCTACAATCCCTATGAGGGACCTCAGATGGACTTGTACCCAGTTAAGAGAGGGTCCTCTTATTAAAAGTCACTCCTCTGACCCCCACACAGAAGTCTCTGGATCTCTAACTTTGTCCTCACTCCTTTTTGGTCAACACAGAATTTATTCGACAACAAGTTTGATGACATCTTTGGCAGCTCGTTCAGCAGTGACCCCTTCAATTTCAACAGTCAAAACGGTGTGAACAAGGATGAGAAGTGAGTCTATGCTGGGTGCAGGCAGGTGGTACAGAAATTATGTGATGCCGGGGTCCGGCTGGTCTCACCTGGCGAGATGCTCCATGACACTTGGGCCCTGAGGAAGAGAAGTGTCTTGATCCCCAAATATGGGTGTCTGTAATCCCAGAGGGAGATCAGATGAGGCCAAGATAATCTGGGGGTGTGAGATTCAGGTCTGGTAACACGGAGGGTCTTAGCATATAATTTATAGAATTTCAAAGAACTTTCCCCAAATGAACACCAGCTTTTAACTTCCTCCCCCGATCTCCCAGCTCGCCTTTGGAAGGAAAGAGCTGGAAGCCTGGTGAAAGCAGCCTTGTTCTTCTGTCCCCAGGGATCACTTAATTGGTCAACTGTACAGGGATGTCACTGAGCTGAAGGCGCAGCTGGGGAGCATGAAGACTGAGGTATGAGGCAAGGGCTAATCTGGTTCTGGGCTTCGCCACGATGTAACATATTCATATTAAATTGGCTTCCCAACACTTGTTGGACCACATTTTAAGGTGGGGGCTCATTAGTAGTCCTGGTCCTCCTGTGGTCTGCATTTCCATTGTTCCTACTGTGAGAATAGCTTTTAAGCCAAGCCCTGTGTCCCTGTGGTACTTGGAGATAGCCATCATTTCCAGCTGGCCGTGAAGCCGATGAATGGTGAGAAAGGCCTGTCCTCCTCCCATGGTGATTGGAAGTTTTGATGTGTAACTCAAGGCGGTTTGCCGTGTCTGGGGTGGTACATAGGCCTGCACCTCGGGCCTGCAGCTGGCCAGAGACTTCACTCACTGGGACAGGCGAACGTCACCTCCCTCATGCCAGCTCGCCCAGGACTGCTTGCAGGCGCTGTAACAGGACCATCATTCCCCTGCTGTCACCTTGTTGTGAGCCAGGTGGCTTAGAATGACCAGACGCTTCAACTCTCACAAGCCGTGGGAGTGGTTTGTTAGGCAAGCACAGGTGTTTATTAGATCAGGGCTGGAAGCCTGGGAGGACGTGCTTCTCCTGCCCAGCCCCAGCCAAGCCCAGAGGCACAGCACTGGGGCTCACTGGTGAGTCCGTCCCACAGAGCCAGCGGGCTGTGCTGCAGTTGAAGGGCCGGGTCAGTGAGCTGGAGGCCGAGTTGGCAGAGCAGCGGCATCTGCGGCAGCAGGCAGCTGATGACAGCGAGTTTCTCCGGGCCGAGCTAGACGAGCTCAAGAAGAAGCGGGAAGACACAGAGAAGGCCCAGCGGAGCCTGACAGAGATAGAAAGTGAGTCCGTGGGGCTGGGGCTGAGGGTGGGAATGGTAGAGTCGGGTGAAGGATGCGGCTGGGCCGCAGAGGTGGGAGCCCAGCAGGTGGAGAGCCCCAGGGGCAGCACTACTCAGGATATGGGGACAGGAACTGGGAGGTGACAGTGGGGTGCCTGCCTGGGGGACGGGGTGTCCGAAGGAGAGACAGCCTAAGAGAAACTCGACATAGAATCCAAAAACACTGATGAAGCAAATGCCACGTGCACACACTCATGCTCAGGAGGTACAAATCAGTGCAGTGATCTGAATTCAGTGGATTCTTTTTATTTTTTTAATTTTTAAAAATTTTTTAAAGATTTTATTTCTTTATTTATGAGAGGCAGAGGCATAGGCAGAAGGAGGAGCAGGTTCCTCACAGGGAGCTCGATGCAGGACTAGATCCCAAGACCCTGGGATCACACCCTGAGCTGAAGGCAGACGTGCAATCACTGAGCCACCCAGGTGCCCTTCTTTTTCTTTTTTCCTTTTTTTTTTTTTATTTTTAAGACAGCTTCCCAGAGGAGTTTATTTCAGTAGGACTTCCCAGGGAGAAGACCGTGTATGCATTTGTGAAAAGCAAGAAGGATGTTCTAGGGACTCTGGCTTGTGGGAAGGCAGGCATGGGGTCCCAGTGGAGGGTAGACTGCTCATCTTGGCTCTTGACAATACAGGGAGAGCCCAAGCCAATGAACAGAGGTACAGCAAGCTAAAGGAAAAGTATAGTGAGCTGGTACAGAACCATGCTGACCTGCTGCGGAAGGTAGGCCCCTCCACCCACCTCCTGCCCTGCACCCTGCACCATCCCCATGCCACAGTGGAGACAGCCACTCCGTTCCCTACCAGTTCTGCATGGGTCACCATCCCTTCACAGAAACCACTGCTCTTCAGGCTCGCTTGCCTTCCATGTCTTGAACTCTACTTTCGATGCCAGCCCTGATTGGATTATCCCCATATTTATTATTCTTTTATTTATTTATTTATCTATGTATTTTTAGAGAGACATAGAGTAGGCGGGGAGGGGAAGAGGGAGAGGGAGAGAATCCCAGGCAGGTGCCACGCCCAGTGCAGAGCCCAATGTGGGGCTTGATCTCACGATGCTGAAATCATGAACTGAGCCAAAATCAAAAGTCAGATGCTTATTGGTCTGCCCCACCCAATTGCCCCTATTTTTTAAATACTTGAGTGCTGAGTATCTGAGGATGACAGCTTTATTCTGGCTTCTCTCTGGGTTTAAAAGTGATTTCTGTGTTCAGCTGTCTGAATGCTGTCATTTGTTCTAGAAGAGAGATGTCCCTGAGCTGTTAATCCTGAGATAAGCCAGTTCAAGACACTGTTTTTCCCTTATAGAATGCAGAGGTGACCAAACAGGTGTCCGTGGCCAGGCAAGCCCAGGCGGATTTGGAACGAGAGAAAAAAGAACTAGAAGACTCTTTCCAGCGCATAAGTGACCAGGCACAGCGGAAGGTGAGGGGAAGAAGTGTGTGGGGAATGAGGAAGGCGTATGCCCAAGTTGGAGGTGGGCCTGGGGCACTGCCCAGGTGGAAAGATCTTGTCTTTCATCCATGGGCAGCCTTGTGGATTAGGGCTCTGTGAGCATGCTATGTGAAGCATGAGGCACAGGACATGGTGCCCGATACAAAAAGGGTTAGAGACATGGTGTGATAACGGGGCTCCAGCTGAGCAGGTGCATCAGGAGAGGCTTGCCAAGGGTGAGTCGAGGACAGTTGAGGGAAGTAGTTTTGGCTCTGGATATCAGAGAGAGATGCTAACATTTATGAGGACTTGTGGCCAAGAGAACCCCCAAAAATTGGAGTGGGATTGGCAGACAGGTCCTGTTGAAGTAAGACAGTCAGATGGAGAAAACTGAATGCATTACACTTAAGGATAGTGGCTTTCATGCTTTTCTTTGACTCAGAGGAAGAAATACAGTCTATTTAACGGAAGTAAAAAGTTTCACACAGCAGCAATACTCATCCCTACTATGTGGATGCTTTTGGATACTATTTTTTTTTTTTGCTTTTTATTTCATTTTTAAAATTTTTATATTTATATATTTTTTAAAGATTTATTTATTTTACAGAGGTGGGGGCAGGGGCAGAGGGAGAGAGAGTCTTCAGCAGACTCTGAGCTGAGTATAGAACCCGACGCAGGGCTCCTTCTCACAACCCTGAGATCATGACTTGAGCCAAAACCAAGAGTGGGATGCTTAACCTACTTTGCCACCCTGACACACCCGTTTATTTCATTTTTTCAAAATATTAGCTGTGGGGATCCCTGGGTGGCGCAGCGGTTTGGCGCCTGCCTTTGGCCCAGGGCGTGATCCTGGAGACCCGGGATCGAATCCCACATCAGGCTCCCGGTGTATGGAGCCTGCTTCTCCTTCTGTCTGTGTCTCTGCCTCTCTCTCTCTCTCTGTGTGACTATCATAAATAAATAAAAATTTAGAAAAAAAAATATTAGCTGTGAATTTTATTTTATTTTTTTTAAGATTTTATTTATTTATTCATGAGAGATACACAGAGAGAGAGAGAGGGAGAGACACAGGCAGAGGGAGAAGCAGGCTCCATCCAGGGAACCCGATGTGGGACTCGATCCCGGGACTCCAGGATCACGCCCTGGGCCGAAGGCAGGCGCCAAACCGCTGAGCCACCCAGGGATCCCCTAGCTGTGAATTTTAGTGGGTTGCAACCTGCTTTTTGAAAAATACCACTTACAAAAGAAATCCAAGAAAGAGAATTGTTTCAAGATGATTAGATTCAGCAACATACCAGGTTTTGGTGTCTGAATTAAAGATCCAGGGCGGGGGGTGGGGGTGAATGGGTGACGGGCACGGAGGGGGACACTTGACGGGATGAGCACTGGGTGTTATTCTGTATGTTGGTAAATTGAACACCAATAAAAATTAATTTATAATAAAAAAATGAATTAAAGATCCAGTTCTGAAAAGGAAAAAAAAAAAAAAGATCCAGTTCTATGTTAATTATACTTTAATTTAAAAAATAAAAAACATTTTCTATAAGAAAAGAGGTTTAGTTCTATTTTAGTTAGTATTATAAGCTTAAACATGACATTTAGGAAATGTCCCTAAAATTTTCTCCTTGACATTCCACTTAGCCACTTTCTGGAATACTTTGAGCTCTCACCTACTCCCACCCACTTTTTGCTGGGTGCATCCAACCTTGCATACAAGAAAGTACACAAATCTCCCATTGATAGGTTGGGGACTTTTTTTTTTAAGATTTTATTTTTAAGTAATCCTTGCAGCCAACATGGGGCTCGAACTCATGACTCCCAAGATCAAGTGTTGCATGCCCTACCAACTGAGCCAGCTGGGCACCCCCTATAGCTTGGGGATTTTTTAAAGATTTTAAAAATTCATTTATTCACAAGAGACACACAGAGAGAGGCAGAGACATAGGCAGAGGGAGAAGCAGGCTCCCTTTGCAGGACTCAATCCCAGGACCCCGGAATCATGACCTGAGCCAAAGGCAGACGCTCAACCACTGAGCCACCCAGGGGATTTTTATATGTGCTTATCCATTGCAGCCACCACCCAAATCAGAGTGCTCCTGTTTTTCCTCTTTTTCAGACTCAAGAACAGACGGAAGTACTAGAGAGCTTGAAGCAAGAACTTGCCACCAGCAAACAGGAACTCCAGATTGTCCAAGGCAGCCTGGAAACTTCTGCCCAGGTTAGCATAACCCCTCGTCCTTGTTTTTTCCCCTATAGCTTTTGGTCCTGCTATCACCTGGCATCCAGCCCCAACCTGGTCCTATCTGTGCTTAAAGTGTGCTTGGGGGAATAAAGGTGGCAGCTTAGAGGTACCACCTCTTATTCTGTCCAAGTGGCCTGCTGGTGGGTCTAGACTCCTGGGAAGTAGATCGTTTAATTCTCCCTCTATAACATGGTTGACACTGCAGTCAGAGGCAAAGTGGGCAGCCCAGATCGCTGAACTAGAGAAGGAAAGGGGCAGCTTGGCACATGCTGTGGCTCATCGGGAGGAGGAATTAGCAGCTCTTCAGGAACAGCTAGAACACACCCGGCGGGAACTGACCAGTGCAAAGGTAAGTGACGGATGCCCGCTCCAGATGACCAGTTCCGGGCTCACAGCCATGGGCCTCAATGATGTATTCATGGAGATGGGGTGGGGCAGGGACAGTCCGTGAAAGCAGGTGGGGCCACTGGCCCGATGGTGAAGGCATTCTGTAACCATAGTTCCAAACGCCAGCATGCTCTGTGTCAGCCACAGAGCAAAGCTGCCTCTTTTTCACATGAGAAGAGCTACACCTGACATCGTCTATGAGCACAGAGAATGGGTTACAGCACATCTGTCCCCGTAGCTTCCAGTGCCACACACTTGTGCACATCCACAAAGTAAAGGAGTTGTTTTCTGTGTCAGGTGGACCGGCTTGGGCTTCATTAGCAATAGCTTGAGTTAAGATGCCAGGAATCCCAGCTACATCAAGGTGGATGCTACCCAAAGGCTCCTAATGGGGTCCGTGTCAGATTCTCACCTCCCTGGACCATTTCTAGGAATCAGCGTGCCAGCTTGCCAAAGACCAACGAAGAATGCTTTTGGCGGAGTTGAGGAAGGCTGCAGAACAGGTGGTACGGGAGGCCCTGCGGAAGCTCGAGGAACCTACTCTAATCAGCTGTGCCGGATCTGCAGGTACCCTCCCCACCCCGGTCTGCTCACAGGTGCGAATTCAGTGTTCAGTGTTGACATGGAATCCCAAGTGACACTGAGCTTGTGTCCTCAGCCTGAGCAGGTCAGGGTCGCCTGGCAATGCCCAGGCTCCACCCTAAGATCAGTTCAGCCAGTAGCTCTGTGGCCCAGGGGCTGGGCGGTAGTACTTTCTGAAATGGATGTGATACCACTGCTCTACGCAGCAGGTCACACTGATGAAACTCACTGGGAGCAGAGCCCTGATAACAACTCCAAGCATCAGGGGGAGGAGGAGCAGACGGCCCTGTGTCTCTCTGAACAGGAAAATATGATCTGAATGAAGAGATGGTTGCACAGGAGCTTCAGGCCCACACGGGGAGCATGATGAAATGTGGTGGGGCAGAAATATTGAGAATACCCATGCAGTCTCAGGCATGTTCCAGAGGCCTAAGAACGTGCCGGTGAGGCAGCGGCTGGAGCCAGAGAAGCCCTGTGGATGAGGAGGGACTTCAGAGGTGGCAAAGCATCCAGGCCTAGGGCATTGGTGAAATCATGGGTGTAGCTACAAGAGGGCCACTGAGGACAAGGTAGATGCAAGGAAACAACCAAGAGTCAGTCTTCATAATCAAATAAAAATGTCTATGGGATGCCTGGGTGGCTCAATCAGTTGAGCATCTGACTCTTGATTTCAGCTCAGGTCATGATCTCAGGGTCCTGGGATCAAGCCCTGCCTCAGGCTCTGCTGTGCACTCAGCGTGGAGTCTGCTTGAGACACTCTGTCTCTCTCTCCCCCACTGCTCCCTCCACATTCATGCTCGTTGTCTCTCTCTTTCTCTCAAATAAATCTTAAAAAGAAAAGAAAAGAAAGAAATGTCTCCATTTGGTGATGTCTACAGCAAGGACTGTTCTATCTTATTCAGGAGGGAACCCATCTGTAAGGAAACCCAGCAGTTAGAGAAGGAGTACACTAAGTACCCAGTTACTGAGGGAATGCCAGGAAATGGGGCAACTGTGGGTGGATTCTGAGGAGAGACTTTCTCCCAAAGCTGGGCTTTGAAGGAAGATGATGGACATGAGCCAGTGGAGGGAAAGAACCGCAGGGGATAATACACAAACTGCTCACATAACTGAGTGGCTCACAGTGTGCCAGCCACCGTTTTAAGCGCTCCACACACCTCCACCCAGCTAATTCTCACAATAGTGCTGTGAGGTGGTACTGTCCCTCTGTTTTCAGATGAGGAAGCAGGTGTGGATGGCCTGAGATCATAGCCAGTGAGGGGGGAGCCAGGAGCCACACCTATGCAGTCTGACATGAGCACTCATACTTTAACTCTTATGCAACAATCTTTGTGGACCTGTATCCAGAGGCACAGAGTGGGAATGGCTGTGTGGTATGCACAGCATGAGCACAGATTGGCCCATGGAGCCAAGGGTCTGGGTTCAAGATTGATGAAAGTCCAAGGTCCTTGAAAGTCTTACCAGGAAGGCCTGGATTTGATTGGGCAGGCAGACAGGAGAAGGGAGAGGCTGACTCTAAGGCTGCTGATGTGGTTTGCCCTATTTCTTGGCTAAGGGACTTATTGGGTTCAGAAGCTCAGCTTTTGAAGCTACAGTAGGAGAGTCCTGTTCAAGCGTAGTCAACCCTCTTTCCTCCACCCCCCATCTTAGGGCAGCTCCTGCAGAGCTAAGGCCACTCACTAGGTAGGCTCATCGATCACATGGCTTAACCTCATAGGAATAAAACGAGTCTGACAACCCTGGCTCTGACTTTGCCCTATCTCCCTTCTCACAGATCACCTTCTCTCCAAGGTCAAGTCTGTTTCCAGCTGCATCGAGCAACTGGAAGAAAGCTGGAGCCGCTATCTGGCCTGCCCAGAAGGTAAGAAAGGTGCAGGATAGGGTCTTTTGCTTAGTGACAGCTGGGCAGCACTCAGAAACGCTTGCATGTGGAGGTAACAACGGGTTCCTATGCACCAAGAAAGGGGTATGTGTGGGACGCCTGGGTGGCTCATTGGTTGAACATCTGCCTTTGGCTCAGGGCGTGATCCTGGGGTCCTGGGATCAAGTCCCGCATCGGGCTCCCTGCAAGGAAACTGCTTCTCCCTCTGCCTATGTCTCTGTCTCTCTCTCTCTCTCTGTTTCATGATTAAATAAATAAAATCTTAAAAAAAAAAAAAAGAAAGAAAGAAAGGAAAAGAAAGGAGGTGTGTGTAATCTGTAAAGCAGGGAAGGAGGTAGGGAGAGAACACCCCTCAACAGCCCTGAGCAACACCTCCTTTAAACTCCTGGCAGATGTCAGTGGGCTTCTCCACTCGGTAACCCTCCTTGCTCACTTGACCAGTGACACCATGGCTCACGTGAGCACCACCTGCCTTCGAGCCCCGCCGGAGCCTGCCGACTGTGAGTACCATGGCTGGGGGACTGGTCTGGAAAGTAGGGGGAGCAGAGGGCCTTCAAAAGTCTTGGTTACCTTGCATCTCCAGCACTGGCCGAGGCCTGCAAGCAGTTTGGCAAGGAAATCCTCCTCTATCTGGCTTTCCTGGAGGAAGAAGGAACGCAGGAGAATGACAGTACAGCCGTGAAGAGCTGCCTTAACAAGATATCCACTATTGCCGAGGTAGGAGCTATGTTACTAGCGGGGGAGGGGGTGGGGGGGTAGAAGTTACAGTGGTTCTTGAGGATGAGTGCTGGTGATCTCTTAGATGGCCTAAGTCAGTTCTTTCTGCGCTTTCCACTTGGCTCAAGAAAGTGAGAGCTGGCAATGAAAAATCTGATCCCCTGAACAACTTTCCAGTTGTAGCTCATGCGTTGGCCATGCACAGAGGACCTACTGTGTGTTCGTTACTAGGCTAAGCAGTATCAAAGAAGAGTAAGCATAGTTTCCTTGTTTTTCCAGGATTTGTATCTGAATGAACAGGTTAACACCTCACGTGGAGGTAACAATGTATTTATTGATTTAATAAAGATGCAGTATGTCGTACATGATGGGCAATGTGCCAGATGTGGTTGGACAGAGACCGACAAGACATTGTCTCTATGGGAAAGGAAAATAAGGAAATCACTCATTTCTATATAGTGGGATGAGAGTAGTAATCAGCTCTGTTTGAAGAGTTCAGTACAAGGCAATATTTACTTAATTCCAAAAATGGGTCATAAATAATATTAAGTCCAAGGAAGGAAGGGATCAGGGCCATAGTTCAGATTTTCATCATCCCTCATCTGAACTCTTACAACTTTCTGATTAGTTTTTCTGCCTTTGGCCTTTTTTTCTTCTGATCTCTTCCAAAAACAGATCTGATTACGATTTCTCATTTGATAACAAAAATCAAATTCTGTAATGTGATAGCCAAGGACCGTCATAGTCTGGCCCTTATTCATCTAGATCCCTCCCACCCACCACCTTCACCTTGTGATGTTGGTGGCTAGCACTGCAGTATAGCTGCCTGCCTGTGTCTTTCCCTCGTGAGTCCTCAAAGACAGAGCCCATACCTTATTCACGTTGTTCCCTCTGTCCCTGGCGTGGTATCTGGCAGGTGGTTAACACCCAGCAGATGTTTAATTAATAGAATATGCACATAGAGAGCAAAGCAGATAAAAAAATCAGAAGGGGAGGAAGGTTCATACTGGGGAGAAGAGGGCAATGAGGTAGGGAATCGTCAGTGTCTGAATGAAGGAAGACTTTGGGTAATGGTGAATTGATAACCTTTCTTTCAATAGAATGACATGATCCTGGTGATATTTTAGTGTTATTAAATTGCTGATGGGGGCCTAGGCAGTGTTACCACAGTCTGCCTTTTGCTGGAGATAGAGCATCTTCTCCAGGGCCATGCAGAACCAAGTCTCAGTACGCACACATAGTATGTAGGACACCATGAGATGAGGAAATAATAATCAAATTAATTGGGCAGCCCCGATGGCCCAGTGGTTTGGCGCCGCCTTCAGCCTGGTGTATGATCCTGGAGACCCGGGATCCCTACATGGAGCCTGCTTCTCCCTCTTCCTGTGTCTCTGCCTCTCTCTCTCTCTCTCTCTCTCTGTCATGAATAAATAAATAAAAATCTTTAAATTAAAAAAAAAAAGAATCAAATTAATTTTAAAAAGCAAAGTGTGAGAGGAAGATCCTGGTGCATTTCTTTTCTGTCAATAGGACTGACCAGGTGTTTAGAAGCTCTTCCCAAGACAGGACATAGAAAATGCCAAATAAAATTTGTGGGGGAAAATGTTAATTGAATCTGCACTGGCAGAAAAACTAAGGAAATTCTCAGAATCAGACACCAAAAGGGTGCAGGAACCAGTGTTTGTTCATCTCTTGGCCTAGAGCTTGGATTTTAATTGGCCGTACACATAGAAGAGAGTTAAGAAACAAAACCTAGGCCCAAGTAGCATAGACGTTTGGAATACAGAGATTTCCTCCCCAAAACACAATTCCAAAAGGTCACACCCCTAATGAATGGGGGAAAAGCCTACTCTGTTGGAGAGATCTTGTCTCAACCTTGGTTATAGGGGAAGAAAGGAGGAAACACGGCTGGCTAGGGAATTTCTAACTACAAGCCACCTGTCCATGGGTTCAGAATCTATATCTACTATCTGTGTGGCCTGAAAAAACCCAAACAGAAAATTAAAGTAGTCAGGTTGTTAGGGGCCCAGGTACCTTAGTAGAAGCAGATCCAAGTGGTCTCTGAAAGGATATACTTTGAATCTAAACCCCAAAGAACTTTCACAGATAAATCCCAAGGCACATAAGTTCGCCATAAATGTATTTGACATGTTAAAGAACTTTTCAAAAGGTATTTTATAAGTGTGACAAAGGACTAAGATATTTTCAAAAGTAACTAGATATATTTGAAAAACAACCACTGAACCACGTTCCAGGATGAATCTCACACATGGACTGCTGAGTAAACAAGCAAGTCATAGGAAAAGTGGATACAGTTAGGACGCCTTTTATTTTTATTTCTTATCTTTTTTAAGATTTTATTTCTTTATTTGAGAAAAAGAGACAGAGATAGAGAGCACAAGTGGGGAAGAGAGGGAGAAGCAGGCTCCTGCTGAGCAGGGAGCCCAAAGCGGGGAGATCTCAGGACCCCAGAATCATGACCTGAGTCAAAGGCAAATGCTCAACTCACTGAGCCACCCAGGCACCCGCTGTTGGTGGGGTGCCATAGCTCTAGGTTCCCTTTTAAATAAAAATCAAAACGGGCGCCTGGGTGGTTCAGTGGGTTAAGCATCCAACTCTTGGTTTCAGCTCAGGTCATAAATCAAGTCCTGCATCAGGCTCTGCGCTCAGTGTGGAGTCTGCTTAAGACTCTTTTGGTAAAATAAATAAATAAAATCTTTAAAATAAGTAAATAAAGGTCAAAACATATGTACATAATGTTATACTGTTTAAGGATGTATTTGTATGGAGTTTTTTAAAAAGACACAGTAAGCATTCTCCTGAATTCTGTGTTTATCTTGAGGTGGGGAGCAGGGAGGAGATGGCATTAGGGTGGAATACAAAGGAGATTTTAAAGGTACTGATAATGTTTCTTAAGCTATTCCTGAAGTCAGGTGGTAGATCCATGGGCCATTGTTCTTATTCTTTAAATCAAATCTGTTTTATACTTTGTAGATATAACAGATAATATTTTCAGAATTCACAGGCTTTGCTGTCAGCCCTGAGTTCAAATCCCTGCTCTGCCATTCATTAGCAGAGTTTCTAGGGTCAAGACATTTGACCTCTCTGAACCTTGGCTTCCCATCTGTAGAATAGGACCAGTAACTGCCTCATATGATCACTGTGGATGCAAAGTTAAGTAAGATGTCTAGTTGGAAGACATCACCCACATTTGAAGATTTTTTAAAAAAAACCTCCCAAGGGGCACCTGGGGGACACAGTCAGTTGACTTCTAACTCTTGATTTTGGCTCAGGTCGTGATCTCAAGGTCATGACCTCAAGCCCTGCATCAGGCTCTGCACTCAACATGGGGTCTACTTCAGGATCTCTCTCCCTCTCCCTATGCCCCTCCCACTCTTGCTCTCTCTCAAATATTCAAGTAAATAAATGCATCATAAAATAAAGTAAAATAAAATAAAATAATAAAATAAAATACCTCCTAAGCCACAAATACAATATATTGCAGCTGTGGGGTCAAGGTCTAAGCAGCTGCAACTGAATGGCCTTGTGGGGGCTTTCTAGAAGGCAGGGATGGCTTTCTAGAAGGAAAGGGTTTCTCAGTGAGAGTCAGAGGAGGAGGCTGGAGCATGAGGTTCTGGGGTTCACACAGTAGCAAGTTCTAGACAAGGCCTGCACAGGAGACCCCTCTATGGGTTCCAGAAGTGTGTTATGTGGCAGGGCCCTCTTCTCCTACCTCTGCCACAGGAGAATAGAGAAGAGATCAAAGAGTCATTGCAGCCTTTGTGATGATGCTGTTCACAGGAGCTCCGGCCCAGAGGCCTAGACATCAAACAGGAGGAGCTGGGGGACCTGGTGGACAAGGAGATGGCTGCCACTTCGGCTGCCATTGAAACTGCTACGGCCAGAATCGAGGTATGGAGGTATTTGCCATGTTTCTTAGGGCAAGGCTCTTATAGCTTCTCATAGCTTCTTGACTTTGTCAGTAGTGACATTGCCCCCCTGGATGTATCTAAATTGTTCATTAAGGCTACAGAGGCCCCCTGTAAGACCAGCCAAAACCCAGACTCACCAGGGTCCCTGAGGAATAGAAGATGAGAAGCCTCTCACCTCCTTTAGTGTCAGGCCATCCTCTGTCACAGTTCCAGACTGACTGCTTGCTGGTTCTATGACTTGGGATAGGCCATTCCATTAAGCTCACCAAGTTTCCATTTCTACATGATGGCAGGAGTAATAGTACTTGCCTCAGAGGGATGTTGCAAGAGATAATGCACATTTATCTTACTTAGTGCCAGGCACCCGTAAAATCAACAGACATGATGGTCTCAGGGAAAAGCTGAGTTGAGGGAGTGGCATTGGGAAAGTCACATATGGCTCCTTTGGTGGAAGACTCTGGCTGCCCATCTTGGCATGAGTACCTGTTGATCAGGTACTCACTGGTAGCAGCTGCCCCCTGTTGGTGGGGTGCCATAGCTCTAACAGTTCTGCACTCATCAGCCTGGGAGCCAGCATGTTGAGACAGACCCTCAGTGGACAGTAGAGCCAGTCTGCAGGGGCTGCTTCCCACTGAAGGGATCAGAAGCCTGGATTCGTTTCTCAACTCACCAGGTTGTGGATTGGCCCTTCTGGGTTTGGGTTTCTCAACTACAACAGGAGGCTGGACACAGGGTATATCAGGATGCCCGTGAGCCCTCAGTAGCCATGATGCACTGAGAAAACCTGCTTCTTTTTAACAGGAGATGCTCAGCAAATCCCGAGCTGGAGACACAGGAGTCAAATTGGAGGTGAATGAAAGGTTAGTCTGAGCAGCATGATGGCACTTAGGTGATTAGGTTGAATCTCTCCTGCAGTGGATTATACGAACTAGATTAGAACATTAGCAACCGGGGATCCCTGGGTGGCGCAGCGGTTTGGCGCCTGCCTTTGGCCCAGGGCGCGATCCTGGAGACCCGGGATCGAATCCCACGTCGGGCTCCTGGTGCATGGAGCCTGCTTTTCCCTCTGCCTGTGTCTCTGCCTCTCTCACTCTCTCTCTCTCTGTGCCTATCATAAATTAAAAAAAAAAAAAGAAGAAGAACATTAGCAACCACAGGCAACATCTAAGTCTGTGTAGTTGTCAATATTATCTTGATGATAATATTGCCATTGCATTTTAGGGGAAAAGAAACCCCAAGAAGCATCACATAACTGTCCCCAGCCAAGTCTCCTTCCTCACATGCCTATGTATGGAAATGTATTCCCCACCGCCCTTCTGATCCCAAGTTTGCCTGTGTTTAGACATGGGAAAGAGAACAGACTCCTTCACTGTTCTTGGTCCCTGACTTTTTCCCACCCAGGATCCTTGGTTCCTGTACGAGCCTAATGCAAGCCATTCAGGTCCTGATTGTGGCCTCTAAGGATCTCCAGAGAGAAATAGTGGAGAGTGGCCGGGTAAGCATGGATGAGGGCCCCTGGACATCATTCACAGACTCCCCGTTCACAGAAGGGCTACATCTGCTCAGTACACTCGTCTACATTCAGCGAATTCCACAGGGGCTGTCATCTTGTCCCGTGTATCCATCTGAGGGCACATCCACCACTCATGGCTGAGTGCAGATGCCCTGGGGAAGAAGTGGGGGGCAACTGCCAGGTCCCCAGGGGGACAGTCAGCCTGAGTCTCCAGCTGCAGGGACATTAGCCTAGGCAACATCATCAGAACCTACTCTGGAGACCCTGTGCATTGCAAGTCTGGGCCCTTAGAGGAATAAAGGAGAGCTTTTGGAAACTGGGCCTGGCTGCTGACCTTTCATGGCGTGGCCATGTCTCCTTCCTGTGGCAGAGTCAGCTGGCAGTTATTCACAGGCCAACCCTGCTCCAGTCTCTGGTCCATGTCCTCACTGGATTTTCTCCATCCTCTGCTGGCCATACTATCATCATGTTCCTTCACACACCCTGTATGCAGCCGCCACTCAGGAGACCAGAGGTCCAGGGAGGGATTTCTGAGCCTGAAAACTATTCTTTCAAAGAAGGAAGCCATCTCTGTCTTGGTGGTGGTGCTTTTTCTCAGATCAAGACAGGGTGTTTTCTATCTCCAAAATAGTCTGAGCAGGGAGCACCTGTGGATTCTGAGACTATCAGACACTTCCAAAGCATGAACTCATTTTAAAATTCCGAGGAGAAATCATTTGTTTCAGTTATTCACTGTGTACTCTCCTCTTTCAAAACTGGAGTGAGCAGTTAGACTTCTCTCAGATCATGTTGTTCATATATGCACGTGAATATGTATATATTCTTATGTCTACAGCTTGGAAATGTGATATTATAGAAATGCTATATAAGTTTTGGAGTCAGAAAAGCCTAGGGTTTACTTCCACTATTCCCTGCATGAATTTGGGAAAAGGATTTTTGCTTTTCTGAATCCTCATTCTCTCATCTGTAAAATGGGGTGTTAATGCTTAGGTCCTGGGGTTAGTGTGAGGTATGAGAGTAATAGACATAAAAGCACCTGGCACCCAATAAAAGCTAGTCATTATTTTCACTTCCTCAGGGCACGGCATCACCTAAAGAGTTTTATGCCAAGAATTCTCGATGGACAGAAGGACTCATCTCAGCCTCCAAAGCCGTTGGCTGGGGAGCCACTATCATGGTGTAAGTGTCTGTCACTCCTCCAATTCCATGGATCCATCTCAGAGAACAGCTGAGGGGAAAAAAGTCTGCCCCTTAGAAACAAACTGTTGATAGGGAAGTTAACTCAAAGTTTAAAAGGGAACCTGGGTCTCCTTGGGCCTCACAGGTAGGCAGGCTGTGCTCTCTAAATAGCCAGGGTGATGGGATGGGGGTGCGGTCTGGAGGTGGGCTCATCAGGGGATGCAGCTGTCCATGACATAATTTATCTTGTCTCTTCCTGACAACCAGGGATGCAGCTGATCTGGTGGTGCAAGGCAGAGGGAAATTTGAGGAACTAATGGTGTGTTCGCATGAAATTGCTGCTAGCACAGCCCAGCTTGTGGCTGCATCTAAGGTAGGACCCCACGCAGGACTCCCTAGAGCACTGTAAGGTCCGGCTAGGTTGGAGAATACTTGGACTGTGGAGCCTGCCCCAAGAACAGATCCTATATCCTATAGGACCCTTTATCCAGGGTCCTATACTACCCTCTTCTGAGAGGCTGTCATCTGTTAGCAAAGAGCTCTTCTGCCCAGCTGGCCACACGGACTCTTAGCTCTCATTGCTTTTGTGAAAAGTGGCCTTTGAGGGTTCCAGCCATGCTGATCTCTGATGAACTCTCAGGGCATTCAAGGAGCACTCAAATAAGGAATATGTCAATGCAGTGAGCTGGTTCCCTGGCTTGGCTCCAAGGTTCCATAGCCAATGGCTGCTGCTTCTTAAGAATCTCCATATTTGAACTATTGCCCTGACTAATTGTAATACAAAGCTTGTTACCAAAAACTGTGAGTTTTATAGTACCCCGGGGAGCCTTCTTATCATCCTTGTTTATTACTATCTCAAGATTTGTTTCTACAACTGGAACAGTTATCACAAGAAAGGGTAAAGCTAGAATCTGAGGCTACCAAACAAATAAGCCAGGAGTCATTTTTGATGTTAGAGAAATGTTAGGAGTTGACCCTGTAGGCAGCAATTTTTTTAAAAAGATTTATTTGTTTATTTGAGAGAATGAGAGAGCACGAGCATGCACACAAGCGGGGAATGGGCAGAGGGAGAGGAGAAAATCTCCAGAGCAGACTCTTCACTGAACGTGGAGCCCAACACCAGGCTCGATCTTCATCCTGAGATCAGAACCTGAGCCAAAATCAAGAGTGGACACTCACCCGACTGAGCTATCCAGGTGCCCTCTATAGGCAGCAATCTTTAAGAAGTCGACTAGTGACCACAGCGGATCCTGTATGTTTGTCAAGAGCTATCGGACCAACTATTTGATTCAGTTCTTGCCGCTGTATGACCCTAACTCTGCTTGGTCCTGGCAGGTAAAAGCTGATAAGGACAGCCCAAACCTGGCCCAGCTGCAGCAGGCCTCCCGGGGGGTGAACCAGGCCACCGCCACGGTTGTGGCCTCCACCATTTCGGGCAAATCACAGATTGAGGAGACAGGTAGCCTCCCAGAAGCAATGCTTTTCTTTTCCATCCCATTCAGCTCACGATCCCAGTTTCCCACAACTCTGTGTCCACATTCCCTGTTGTCATCTTTTCTACATGCCTACTTACTTTCTCATAAACTGGGACACCACAAAAGCATGCTATTTGTGTCACCATGGCAACAGGCCTTAAGGTAGATTTTCCTTTAGTGATTTCTCTGGATTCAAAGACATGACTCTCCAGGCCTGGTTTCTCTGGCAGGCGGTGGGGGTATGGGGGGTTGGCACTTCCTCCCCATCTCTCCGTCAGTGACTTTCACATGCATTTTAGAAGCTAGCAAACCAAGCATTTCAGCAGAGCGCTGGCATCAGCTGCCTCTCAGGTGAGAGTCAGCCAGGGGTGTCACCTGACAAGACCTTCCCTCCACTCTTCCAGATAATATGGATTTCTCCAGCATGACACTGACCCAGATCAAACGCCAAGAGATGGATTCCCAGGTAGGATCCCCACTTCTCAGTCTGCTCTGTCTGTTGCCGGGGGTACTGACCCCAAATATTATCCCCATCGAGAGAAGCATGTAGGCGAAAGACTTGGGGAAGAAACAAACAGAGATGGACCCAATAGCCCATGAATGAACGTAAATGATGCTGGAAGGACACTAGAGTGGAGACAGGTGGAGACAGATAGATTAAAAATAGAATCTTAACTCTTGCTCACTAGTCTCGGGACTGGTTTCCCCCTCACTGTGACCACCATGGGTCTCCTAGCCGACATCAACTAGCATTAAATATCTTAACGATAGACGGGTTTGTTTGTTTTTTTAAGTGTAGTTGACAAACAACGTTACGTTACTCTCAGGTATACACGTAGTGATTTGACAATTCTGTATATTACTCGGTGCTCACCATGATAAGTATAGTCACCATCTGTCACCATGCAACGTCATGACAGTATTGTTGACTATATTCCCTGTGCAGTACTTTTCATCCCCCTGACTTACTTACCTTATAACCAGAAGCCTATACCTCTTAATCCCCTTCACCTATTTCACCCATTCCTCCACCCATTTCCCCTCTAGCATCCACCAGTTTGCTGTATTTATAAGTCTGTTTCTGGGTGGTGTTTTGTTTTTTGGTTTTGGTTTTGGTTTTTCAGGATTTTTTAAAATTTTATTTATTTGAGAGAGAGAGAGAAAGCATGACAGGGGAAGGAGCAGAGGGGGAGGGAGAAGCAGACTCCCTGCTCAGTGGGGAACCTGATGCCAGGGCTCGATCCCAAGACCCTGAGATCATGACCTGAGCTGAAATCACAAGTCGGATGCTTAACTGACTGAGCCACCCAGGTACCCCAGTTTTTTGGCAATTTTTTAAAACTCTGATATGAATTATTTGTGCATGACCTTGGTTTAAAAAAGAAAAATCGATTCACTGAGGACCCATTGAGAACAATGCCATTTCTCCTAGCTATGCAGTAAAGCTGTGGCATGTAGAGGAGAACTAGGACTCAGTGGGATCCTGGAAAAATCTTGACATCCTTGTTCTAGAGTTACTGGTCCCAGTCTTGGGGTAAAGTCCAGATTGAGACTGTTAAAATCCCTAGATGGGTCACTCATATCTTTAGGAAAAATCATGTGGCCAAATACTAAAAGACCCGAAGTCAGGCTCGAGTCCTTGTCATCTACATTGTCTTGCTTACTGGTCTCATCCAGTTCCTCTTGACTACAGATTCCATCTATATGCTGATAAGTACCAAATTCTTCTCCCCGGCCTCCATCTTCTCTTTGAGCTATGTGCTTGTCCAACTGCCTACTTGATCTCTCCCCTTGATACCAAATACATCTCCTACGAAATGGATCCAAACCAGGGCCCTTGGTTTCCTTCCCATCCAGATCTGTCCCTCTCCTTGTTTTTTTCACCTCCGTAACTGGAACCCCCCCACCCACACCTGGGTGCTAAGACCTAGGAGTTGTCCTTGGGTCCTCCTTCCCTTTTCCCTTCTACATCCAGTCCCCTAGCAGGTCCTGTCAATTCTGACACTTCAAGCTTGAACCTTCCCCCTCTTTTCCATCTCCCTAACATAGCCTAAGCCACGGTTGTTTAACTCCTAAACTACTACAAAAGCAGCTTAACTGCAACACATGTGAGTATTTGTTTCCAAGTAGTTCTGTGGCAGGGCCAGGGTGGCAGGGCAGTTGGAGCAGAGAATTGCAAAGAGCATTGCTGGAACAGGTCCAGCCCTAGGTTGATAGTTGTTGGAACTCTGTGAAAGGCACATGGTGGGATTCACCAGATTGTCTCCATCTTTTGGTACATTTTACATTTTCTACAATAAAAAAATTGGAAAAAAAGGAACCATCTAACTGCATCTAGTTGCTTCCACTCTTGCCCTCCTTACAGTTTGTTCAGGTTCTACATATTTTGAAAAGCATAAATGATAGCATATCACATCTCTGCTTAAAATCTTCCACTCACTTCCCTTTCACACTTAAAATATCCAAACTCCTGCCCCCAGCGCAGGGCCCTGGGTGAAATGATCCTGGCCTGTTTCTCCATCCTCCTCTCATGTCCCTCTCCATCGCTCATGCGTCAACTACACAGGGCTCCTTTCTGTTCTTCTGATACCCCAAGTTCCTGCCTGCCTGAGTAGCCTTTGCTGATCACCCTTGGCCTTCATCACATGACCCTGTGTCATCTTCCATTACGGTCTGATCTGTTCTTGTTCATGAGTTTGTGTGTTCACCCTGCAAGGTAAGCAGGGGCCTTGTGCACCACTGTGTCTCCAGCACCTGCAGCAAAGCCCCAGGTTCATGATGGGTGCTCAGCAAACATTTCTTTTTTTTAAGATTTTATTTATTTATTCATGAGAGGTAGAGACATAGGCTGAGGGAGAAGCAGGATCCCTGTGGGGAAGTCCCTGATGTGGGACTCAATCGCAGGACCCTGGGATCATACCCCAAGCTGAAGGCAGACACTCAACTACTGAGCCACCCAGGCATCCCTCAGCAAACATTTCTTGAATTAGTACAGAAATAACTAGAATGAATGAGCAGTAGGGATAGCCAGGTACCAGCCTTTCCCTTGGTAAGATTGTGCTTTTACCTGTATGATAAAAACTCTAAGTTGAACCAGCCCCTCAGAGATACCAGAAACAGCTGAGCTGGCTCTTGCCTGGATTTCCAGGAAAGCAGGATTGAAGCAGAAGGGGAACTGGATTGGAACACACCACACAAATAGGCAGGATGTCAGAGTTGTTTTCAGACAGAGATTTCAGAGGAGCATGAGATAAGCCCTCCTCCCATTCAGGCATTGGGGCTATAAAGCATTCCCTCCAGTAGAGGCTCCCAGGGAGGAAACAGAGGAGCCACTAAGATAGATGGGTAAATGGGAGAGGATGGAGGAAATCAGCAGAGGAGGAGATGGATTAAGTCGAAGTGAGACCATTGTCAGATGGCTGCTCCAAAAACCTGCTCCTCCCACAGGTCCGGGTGCTAGAACTGGAGAATGACCTGCAGAAGGAACGTCAGAAACTGGGAGAGCTTCGAAAAAAGCACTACGAGCTCGCTGGTGTTGCTGAGGGCTGGGAAGAAGGTAGGCCTCTTTAAGGGCCCCGCTTGGACGCCATGAGGGCAGGGTGCGTGTGAGGAGGGCCTTCCCCTCAGACATGACAGAACGAGGTGCCCTTCAAGTCACCGACTTCCCCCCTCTTCACTCCTAGAGCGTGTTTTCTCTTCAATTGTAGATAATCTTAAAGCCCAAAACTGGCATAAATTGGGGTGAATTGAAAGCTTTTGTTGTCACCCCTCAAGATCTGAATGCTGACCAGCGAGCTCATCATTCACTAGCCACCATTCCCAGTGAGCCTGGCACGCAGACAGCAGAGTAGTGAATGAATGAACGGCAGCCAGTGAAGAGCCAGCAAGGGGACCACAAACTCCTGATTAACTAGAGCCAGCAATGGGGAGCAATGGCCATGCTATAGAAGGGGTCAGGGGCTAGAAATGGAGTTGAGTGGGAGATGTTGGGCCCACCAGCCCAGAGAGGCTTTCTCGCCTGGAGTCTTCTGCTTTCCCATGTGCCCAAAGCGGCCAACTTCATCACAACCAGGACTGCTGACTCTCATGGTCTTGATAAACTCTGGGAGCCAACCACAGACGCGTACTAGTCACTCCTGGATGTGTAACTCAGGAAGTAGAGGGTTATGAGCATGAGGTATTTGAGAGCCCAACGCAGTGGCTGTTTTTGTTAGGGAAACAAATGCATGCATACATGAAGTGCTAGGAAACAAAAATCATCGTTGCTTTTCAGGAACAGAAGCCTCTCCACCTGCGCTGCATGAAGTGGTCACCGAGAAAGAATAGAGCCATGCTGATACCCCACACGTCCGAGTGTAAATCTTGTGGCCCGTCTGTGTGTGTGTTATTTTCCAGCCATAGCCCAAACCCTGGGCCAGGGACCCCAGTGGCCTTCCATGGAAGAGGGGGACCTCCCTCCCAGTCCCACCTGCTGCTTGACCCCTAGATGCTCGGTGACCTTGTCTGAGGGGCTTGCTGTTTCCAAGAGCCTGGTGAGGGGCCATCTCATACCTTTTCTTCTCTGTTTTCCCCTCAGCCTTTTCTGTTTCACCATCTGCACCAACTCGTGAGCGTCAGAGGGCTGGTGGGCTGCACACCAGGACGCAGGGCCTGAATCTTTGCCGTCAGAGCAGTACGAGCGTCCTCGCCAAGCACCCCAAGGCAGTTCTCCCCTCTCTTGGCAGTTCCATGGATTCCTACTGCTTCTTATGGTGGTTGGTTGGGTTTTGTTTTGTTTTTATTTTTTTTTTTTTGTTTTTTCGGTTTTCTTCTTTCAGTGTTCCCTCATAGAACCACCTCTCCCAAAGGGAGCACCCCTGGAGCTCTGAGCCACCAGGGGCCCCTAAAACAGCAGTTAACAGCAATGGTGCTGCTCAGGCTTCACCTTGGTGCTCCAAGCCAGCCTCCATGCTGAGTGTCCTGCTGAGCGAGTAGGGGTCAGCCGAGGCCACTCCCCAGGGGCAGGCACCACTGCTCGGCCACACTTCCCTCCAAAGGCAGAAGCAGAGCGAGTGCCTTTCCTTCCCAAAGTGAGAGCCCAGCCGGAGGCCTCTGTCTACCTTCACAAGTGACAGGGGCAGAGAAAGCGGGAAAGGAGGGGTGCATGCGGCCCAGGTCTCAGGAGCACTTGGGCACTTCTTGTGACCAGGCTGAGAAACCTTATCACATGCTTGAGTGTGCTGGTGAGAGTAGCCACACTTCTTCCCCCTGGCATGAATTTTCCATGCCACCTCCCTTCAGACCCAGGCAGGGCCCTGAGAGGGAGTGTGTGAGGGCTTTCCAATTCCTCTCTCCAAATGTCCACCTTGGCATCCTCTTGAACCTGCAGAAGATAGTTCCATGTTCTACCTAAGTGACAGACCCAGAAGATCAGGCCATCTTGCTCCCAGCAGGAAAGAACTGTGTGCTTGGTTTGGTACCTTTAATATTTATCACTAACCTCCATTTGGCAGCGGCCTACAGAAAGATGCTTTGAGCAATCAGGATTTGAGGTGTGCCGATGGCAGGGCCGCATTGCTGCCCCAGGTCATAAGTCTTAAAGAATCAGACACGGCCAACATGCTTCCCAAACATCCGGCCTAGACGCTGAGACAAGTAGGTTCCTCAGAGCTTCTGAGTCAGGAGACTGAGAGAGGGGGACCATTGGCTCTGAGCCCTTGCAGCCACACGTTCCGGGCCCTGGCTGCCTGGACAGAATGAGGACAGAGGGCTCATTGATAACAGCTTCCTAGAGGCGGGCAGCCTAACACCCCTTGTCCACCTCCAGATGAACCCCAGCATTTAAGTGACCTTCCGATCTTGGACAAACAGTGTCTTCCTTCCTTATCTGTAGCAACTCCTAGGTAGAAGCCAACAAGTACTTCCAGGACCTGTCCCAAAGGAATGTTGCTAAGTGTTGCTACATGACAGGTGGCAAGGCTCCTGTTTGATCACTGTGAATCAACCCCCCTCTCCCTACCATTCCCCTCCTTCTCTGTGCATTTTCTAAGTAAGGCACTCAAAAAACAGTCTCCCATTAGCTCAGATTCCAAGACTCAGACACCCAATCTCCACATTGGGCTAAAGAGGGCTCAGCAGTGGAAGATGAGCAGTCTTAATGTTTAACACTTCTTTGGGCTCAGCGTTTTTCCATCTGAGGCTCAGAAGGAGTGGTGTATGGCACCCTGGCCCAGTTAACGCCAATTAAGCCAGTCAATATGTTCTCAGAATTGATTACCATTTCCACAGCAGACTAGTCCTCACTTCCAGAGTCTCAGCCAAACTGTTGTGCTCCAAATTACCAGGGGTGGAAAAAAATCTAGTATATCGGACCACACTGGGATTCTCAGAATAACACTCCCTCTAAAAAAAAGCCACGGTCATTTTTAAAAACCTTTGCGGACTTCACATGAGTTATGAAACAGTGAGGAAAGCAGTTAAATGGGAACACAGGCTAATCCCATCTGGCACGAGAAGTATCTGTCAGATGTAGTGTGATTACATCTGTCATCGCTTGCCTTAGAAGCTAGCCCATCCTCTGGCCAAAATCAAATTGTCCCGTCTTGGCTTTTCTAAAAATGAATGTGTTTCTACTTGGTGCGAAATACCTGATTAAAACAGGAATCACATACTGAGGCTAAAAATGAACCTCACAACCTCTTAAGGTAGTCTCCCAGCATCATTAGTGGCTGAAGTCCCATGGGCCAGGGTACATAGGTCATAGTAAGGCAGGACAACAAAACAATGGCTTAGGACTGAAAAGAGGTCAAAATATAGCCTCTGATTTCGACACTGAGTTGAACGAAAATCAGTGTCTCTGATTTAATTATGGTTGCTCTAATATCTCTAGAATAAGGATATGTGTGTACATAATAAGGAAACAAAATAGAAAAAACCTATCTTTGTGGGGTTATTTTACATCTGAGTCCGGAGTTGAAATTAGACTGTAAGTGTAGATTGTTGGCTGATTCTGCTGCTTACAGCAGGAACCCTAGGATCCTTCCTGAATCTGAGTCCCTAATCCAGTGGCTGGAAGAACCAAACATTGTCCAGAGCATCCTTTCTTGGAAGTGTTTGAGCTGCCAAGTCAACACCAGGGTTTACCAGGTACCATGGGGGTCACAGTGCATGTCGTTTGTTCAGGCAGGTTGGTTTGCTTCGGCCCCTCACTGGTGAGGAGCTGATTCTGAGCTGCTACCTGGGAAATGCTCACTTCGTGGCCAGCTCCTTGGTCCGGAGGGGTCTCCCGGCTCTACTCACCCGGGTCTTTAAAACCGGTAAAGTTCTTGCTACCTTCTACCACCTTTGCCAGTCTCTGGAAATCCTTCCTGCCAGTGAAAGCCTTCGATCCTGGCATTGGCCTTTCAACTCGACCGGCTCTGCCCTGTCTCTGCCATCCTCGGTCCCCCAGAGAGCACACTGTCTGTAGCATAGACGACGACCACCACCACCACCATGGGCCTGCCAGCCTCCACCACAGCAAACTGAGCCAGCTCTCTGCTGCTCACGTCCCCTTTGTCTCCCAGGGTCAGACCAAATGCACGATCACAACCCACAGTGGTGGCACAGCCTCTCACCCCCAGGAGCCAAAGCAAAGGGAAATAATTGGCTAGATGCCGTTGGGTCCGATTCTGAGAGTAGATCATTCCCAGACATGTCTTTCAGGTGACCCTCAACTACCTCAGTTTGAAGGCCCTAAACGAAGCTGATTACTACTCCTAGGGACAAACCGAGGGGGTTCAGATAAATCTTGCTGATAACTTATAACAAACTCTCACATTTAGGTTCACAGGGATAGGTTGGGTTTGTTTTTCTTGTTTTTAACCTTTCCCCCCAATTTTCCATTAGAATAGTTCCTATAAATGAATTTCATTCTTTCACCGAGTGCCTACCTTCCCAGGGCAGGTAGCCACTGGCTTTTGTTCCCTTCCAACAATACTTTTATTATGGTATTAAGACCTTTCTTTGTATAATACATTGCATCTGTGTTTTCAATTTTTCAAATAAATATTTCAACCTGGCAATGGAGAGTAGTGGTGTTAACTGACCATCCAAAGTGGTTTTGGGGTCGGGGTCCCAGTGAAAAGCCTACACTTCTATCCTGGGGTCCACTGAATCCCACTTAACCTCTGCACCTCTTAGAGTAGGTCTTAAAGACAGGAATACTTCTGAGGAATACAACTGCTGTAGAGAAACGGGTTTGCACAAGGTAGTCATGCTCCATCCCCTATACACTCTCCTGTCCTTGAGAATGATCAAACGGAACATGCCGAAGTCATCGGTACTGTAACTGATCTTGACAGCCAGGTCTGCGCATAAAGTCTGGCATCTCGGGCTATGGATATGCCTTTCTCCACCCTCAAGATGCGAAAGTAACCTGTCACCTTAAAATTGGATGAGACGGTTGCTGCTCAGGGACTGAAGCTGCCAGTTACAAGGGGATTCAGAGTGAGCCAGTCCGTCTGCCAGAGGACCTGCAGAAGGAGCTGATGAATGGGTAGGGCTGGTTGTATGATGACTTTTCATTATCTGCAACCTCATGCTGCTGGTGCATTAACCCAAGGGGACATCCAAGGGAGGGAGAGAGATGGGGAAGGCCCAGGGATGATAAGCAGGAGAATTGCCCAAATGATCCTCCAGTAAGAGAAGGACTGCCCAGTGGTAAGATGACTTGGATGAATACAGAAATGGGAAACGCTTGCCTACAGCTGGGGTTTTCTGCCCCCTGCAGCAGAATGCAAGTGTGAACCTGTTCCATCTGAAGCACCATTGAGTGGACAGACCTTGGTCACAGCTCTCTTTTTAAGACTTTATTTATTTGTTTGAGAGAGAGAGAGGAACAAGCAGACTCCCCGCTGAGCGGGAAGCTGAATACAGGGCTTGATCCCAGGACACTGAGATCATGACCTGAGCTGAAGTCACACGCTTAACCAACTGAGCCACCCCAGCACCCTGGTCACAGCTCTCTTACAGATTGCTCCAGGGCTCAAGTGTGAAGTTGCATCCAGAAAGCCAGGCAGAGGACTTCCTTGAGTTCTGAAGTGTCTTCCAGGGCTCAGATCTGGCCCAGGCCAGCTGTGCTCTCCAGGCAGGGTGTCTCTTCCCTTCCAGGTGTACTCCAGCCCTCAGCCCTCCCCAACCTGTACATGACCTTGACCAGATGCCCCAGAGGCTCTTGGTACTCAGCCTAAGGGGTCTTCCCAGCATCCTGTGGCTGGGCCCCAGTTCTAGAAAGGCAACTTGGCTGGCTGGTCACTCTGGCCAGCAGAGCATTGTAAGGAATCGTGAGATAGCCCCCTAGAGTGATACTAATATGCTATAAAAAAGGGGCATTGAGAGGTGGGAGTTAGGGTTTTTTGGACAGATGAAATTTGTTTGGGTCCTAGGGGTGGCCCTGCCAAAGTAAAAAGGAACAAAGGGGTGGACTGGCCAAGAGGGAGGATAGCACAGCAGAAATCTGTGCTGAAGGCATGCAGCTGAAATTGTTCTGTACTGTTATCTGAAGTGAGTTCATCTTGCCCACCATGTTGTCCCCAGTCTCTAATGCATTCCCAAACATACAGTAGGCCTTCCAGCATTTGGGGGTGAATATGAATGATTTCTCTTTTTACACTGCATTCTTAGTTATACACACATGTGATGCATCCATTTATTGTGTGAGCACTGAAATTTTCAAAGATGAAGATTTTCTGTTCTTTGCCCTCACACATTGTGTGTTATCACATCTGCTATGTGGGGCTCTGGGGATGCAACAGAGGGCAGAAACACACCCACCCTCTGGAGCTCACAGGTTATTCAGGGAAACAAGTGGGATAATCAGGGAAACAAGTAGGATAATCAAATAGAAAAATGTATCACTCCACTTGACCTTGAACAACATGTTTGAGCTGCGGGTAGTCCACTTATACGTGGGGTTTTTTATATATATAAATACGGTACAGTACTATAAATGTGTTTTAGGAGTTTCTTAACATTTTCTTTAGCTATTTTATTGTGAGGATACAGGATGTAACACATAAGCAAAATATGTGTTCACCAACTGTCTTATGTTATTTTTAATGCTTCTGGTCAATATAGGCTATTAAGTTTTGGGAGAGTCAAAAGTTATACATGGATTTTTAACTATGGTTTTTCAATTGTGTTGGGGGCCTGTGCCCCAAATCCCCACATTGTTCAAAGGTCAACTCTACATCTAGAGTAGCACAGTCTCAGAATGCTCTGAGAGCACAGGAGGAAAGTTATAGGGAAGTTTCCTTGAAAAAACGAAAACTGAACAAAGGTATACAGAATATGAGGAGGTATTGACTAGGCAACAAGGGAGGGAAAGCCCATTCTCAGCAGGAGCTGTGTATGCAAAGGCGCATAGGCCATTGAAAGACCATTATAGCCAGAGCAAGGTCGTTTTCTTGGGGTTGTGGGGTCAAGCCCCGCATGGGGCTCTGCTTAGTGTGGAATCTGCTTGGGATTCTTTCCCTCTTCCTCTCCCTCCGCCTGCCCCCCTCATGCACTCACGTGCATACTCTCATAAATAAATAATAAACAAACAAATAAACAAATAAACAAACAAACAAATAATAAATAAAATCTTTTTTAAAAAGAGAAGTCTGGGCAGAGAAGCAGGAGCAGATCATACAGACAATGGAAAGCAGTTGATGGGCTTTAGGCAAAAGAGCCTCAAACCATATTTGCATTCCAAACAGACCATTCCAATTGCTGAGTGGATAACAGACCAGAGGGCAGGCAGCAAGAGTGGATGCACAAATTCAGTGAGGAAGTTCCTGCAGCAGTGCAGGCAGAGTGTGGTGGGAGGTAGACAGTAGCATTGGACACTGGGAGAAGTGACAAGCCAGAAGCACATGTAAAAGGCAAAATATTTGGGCTTTAGTTTCCATAGAGGGTACAGGAGAGGGAGTCTCAGGTTTCTGACTTGTAGAACTGGTGCGGGGTGCCATCCACTCAAGAGAGAGAGAACACAAAAAGAGGACTAACGCTTGGCGCAGATATTGGGTCCTCAGCTGAGATGCTTCTGAGCATCCAGGTGAAGATGTAGGGTGGGCCCTGGAGCTCAGAGAGGTCGGAGGAGATGGGAATTTCATGGTAACTGGAACCATAGCTGAAGTGGCCGAAGAAGAGCATAAGGAAAAAAGAGTCCAGCATTGAGGCATTTTCATGTTCAAAATAGTACAGCAGGCTGAGCTGGTCAAGGAGCTGGTCAAGGATCTTTGAAAGACCAGCTTGAGAGGTAGGAGGCAAATCTGATTAATTGAGACTTGAAAATGAAGGGGGGACAGTGTTTCAAGGAGTGACACAAGACTGCCAACTACTGCTGTTCTGAGTGCAAGTTACAAGCAGATGCTGTAGGATCTGTTGATTGAGATCACTCCCAAATGGGAAGACCGGGAAAGGTTGCATTTGAACTGTAACTAATCCATAAAGGATAGATCAGATATCAATGGGTAGAAATTAGGGACAAGGTTATAGCAGGTGCAGGAAGATGCCACAAAAGATATAAATGTGAGGAAGCAAGGTTAGGAAAACAGCTATACTCTGGTTTGGTTAAAGCCAAAGCTATACTCTGGTTTGGTGTAAGCAAAGAGATGGGAGATACAGCTGAAAAGGTAAGTTGTGGCCGAGTTAAAGAAAAGTTTGACTCCCAGGCTGAGAAGTTTCCATTTTGTTCCCTAGTGAGCCCATCTCTTATCCTCACCTTCTGGGTTGATCTGGTCAGACTTGCCAACTGAAAGTACTTTTTTTGACATTCCATAACATGGTCCACATTCCCTCGTTTACCTATTTTTACATAATCTCTACACCCAATGTGGAACTCGAACTCACGACCCCAAGATCAAGAGTCACATGCTCTTCCGACTGAGCCAGCCAGGCGCCTCCTGCCCCACACTCCCTCCTAAGTCCCCTTTCCACTCTGCCTTACACCTCTCATAATTCCGTGAGCCTGCACCAGGCAATCCCACAGGCACCTCGTTCCATGCGTGCCCTGAGCATCTTCTCTGAGCCAAAACTGAGCCTAGCTGTGACTGCTAGCATGGCAGCCCTGTTCCTGGAGAACGTGTAAGTTTCTAGGTAAGTTTCTAGTAAATGAGTCGGAAGCCTCTGGGACTGTCCTTCAAAATTTCTCCTGAAATCTCCACATCTCTTCTAATTATATTTTCTTTCTGCAAGACCAACATTTGAAATAAACGTTGAAGACTAAATTGTATTCAACTCCTATATGGTCAAAAACAACTAATATTACAAAAGGCATGTCCTCTCGAATTGTGTTGCCTCTGCGAGCACTGCTGAGTTCCTATCACACGCTAGACACTGTAGGAGGAAGAAAAATAAGCAAGAACTGGTCCCTTTCTCAAGGACCTTCCAAACTTGGAAGGAAGATAGACGCATACATTAGAAACTGAAGTATAATGTGAAAGAGATGAAACAGTCAAGAAATCCAGCGGTAGTCAAAGGAAAGGGAAGGATGAGTCGATAACTTGAGGTAATGGCATCAGGAAAAATGTTTTTAAGGGCGTTTTTAAGGGTGGCTCAATGGTTGAACATCTGCTTTTGGCTCAGGTCATGATCCTGGGGTCCTGGGATCGAGTTCCACATCAGGCTCCCCACCGGGAGCCAGCTTCTCCCTCCACCTCTCATGAATAAATAAAATCTTTAAAGAAAAAATGTTTTTAAGAAGATGGAAGCATGCTTCAAAGCTAAAACAAAGTCAGAGGAGGTAGAGATTGAAGTGTTACTCAGCCATTAGAAATGACAAATACCCACCATTTGCTTCGACGTGGATGGAACTGGAGGGTATTATGCTGAGTGAAGTAAGTCAATCGGAGGACAAACATTATATGGTCTCATTCATTTGGGGAATATAAAAAATAGTGAAAGGGAATAAAGGGGAAAGAAGAGAAAATGAGTGAAAATATCAGTGAGGGAGACAGAACATGAGAAACACCTAACTCTAGTAAACAAACAAGGCAAAGTGGAAAGGGAGGTGGGTGGGGGGTTGGGGTGACTGGGTGAC